GTAGTATTTTTGCGGGTATACTGTTTCTCCCTGGGCTGTCCATGTGCTTTGGCGCTATCAGACGCAAGACGCAGCGATTCAACGTCAAATCTGCCGGAGTTACATCGACCATGTTGATGTTCGCCGTAATCGCTGCATTCGGTCCAACGCTGTTCTATCAGATATACGGCAGTGTATGTTTTCCAATTCTCTCATTGTCGGTTTCTGCTAATGACCGGTTTGCTTAGCACGAATTGAACTGCTACTCGTGCGCTGAGACTACGGACTCGGGCAGCAAAGATTGCCGCCGCTGTTACTTTGCCCAAGTTCCAGCTGTGGACGACAATTTCTTCCGAAAAGTAGTTCAGCCATATTCATGGTTTGCCGCTGTGTTTCTGTTCTTATCATATATAATTGGGTTGTGGTTCACACTCAGAACCCACGCTGCCCTCATCTGGGCCACGGAAGTCGAGGAAAAGAAGGCCGCAGCCCTCCAGCAAGAGCAATCGGCCTATGAGCCCAGACATCTGCTATTCCCTGCTGGAACTGTAAATACCACCGGTGGCAACGCTAAAGGCTCTATTCGCGACTCACAGCTCTATAAGAGGATCTTAGGACAGTCCCTGAGGCAGGTTGGCTTGTCCGACAATGCCAATGAGGACGCTCCACACCAGCCCGAGTCGAGCTCGGCCCGAGATAAAGGCGCGATGCCGTATCTCGTCCCCCCACGAACGGAGGGTGAGGACGGTTATTCTAGCTTCAAAGGCTTCCGAGGATACACTGGAGGAGAGAACGAAGATTTAGTGCGCCAGGTGACGGAAGTCGCAGCCACAGCGGCGGCGGTTGCTGCTCGTGATGTTGCTCGGACACGCAAGTCATCCGTCCAGCAGGGCACTGCACGTCACAGCAATAAGACCACTGGTGATCTTTCCAAGTCCGTTCTGGACGACCAAGAAGATGTCGGGATTGAGCACACACATGCTAGCGGCGGTCATGATGCGCCAAACTGGAGCAAAGCTAAGAGCTCGATCATTCTCCTCGTGGCGACAATACTGTACGCCATCATAGCCGAGATTCTCGTGAACACCGTGGATGTTGTCCTCGAGAGTGTTGACATAGACGAGAAATTCCTCGGCATCACTCTCTTCGCGCTGGTCCCCAATACTACGGAATTTCTGGTAAGCCCAATGCTATCAATATCTGCAGAGTCATGAATCTCACACCTGAACAGAACGCTATTTCCTTCGCGATGAACGGTAACATTGCGTTGTCGATGGAAATCGGTTCGGCCTACGCATTGCAAGTCTGTCTGCTGCAGATCCCCGCGCTGGTCCTCTTCAGTGCACTCTACAGCCGTATCCTCGACCCCTCGGATCTTTTGACGCATTCCTTCAAGTAAGCAGTGCAGTCTGGCCGCATAGATGGCTTGAAGAAAAAGAACTGACACGATGATTACAGCCTCATCTTCCCCCAATGGGATATGGTATCTGTTATACTCTGCGTATTCCTCCTGTCCTACGTGTATGGGGAAGGGAAGAGCAATTATTTCAAGGGCTCGATCCTCGTACTCACCTACCTGGTGGTGGTTATCGGGTTCTACTTGGCCGGCTACAGTAATGTTGACACGATGGGTGTCGATCGCTTCGACACGCTGGCTCTTGGGCCCATCAGGTCCCAGAACTTCCGCACGATTGGTCGGCCGACCCGCGGCATGGCTTTCTAATTAATGTGTATGAGACTTGTGGTTTTGTTTTGAGCCTTGGTGGGAGGGCAAGGATAGCGCGGACTTGATATACCAGCTATGCTTTAAAGTAGCGTACAGTTATACTGTGCCGTGGTGAATGCATACATACCGTATCTGCTTTTGGCCTTTGGCTATTAGAATATGATTAAAGATGCTGATCGGATACTGGATTTGTCCAACCTAGTCATACAATGAAGAGCAACTCTGCTGGTGCTGAGCAAGAATCCACATCTCAGAGAACTGCCTGTTGACCGTTCACTTCTAGGGCTAGTCAGCGTAGTCGCAAGTCATAATCATCTACAGATTAGATCCTTCAGCTGTATTGTTCATGTGATGGATTGTTTTGCCTCTAATGACGCTGTGCGAGCAGAAGAATATTTAAACCGAAAGGGGAAATAAAAAGCAAGTGTCTTCGCAACTACCCAAGACCTGTCCGAACAACAAGAAGAGTTTCTCGAAACGAGAGCTCAAAGTCATGTGTCACCAGTCTTCCACGAGCTCACGGTTTCATCAACCAACTTTCGATATTCGAGTTGCTTGTAGCACTGTTCTAGGAAGACCTTATACTTGACGTTGAGCAAAGCTTTCTCATTCTCGTCTTCTGTCGGCACGACCTTCTTTCCTGGTTTACTCATACGATCCATGATCTCCCACAGGTCTTCTGTTTTGCCTTCGGCGTCGGCACTCGCGGCCTTGGCTCCCAGCATTGCTGCACCATGGCAAACTGCAGCATGAATATAACGAGGGATAAGGACTGGCATGTCGCAGGCTGATGCAATGAGCCGTACTAAAATGTCATTCTGACACTGAGATCCGGACATGAAGATGGATGTGATGCTATGACCGGCTTTGTTCATCGTCTCGACGATCTGCCTCGTTTGCAGTGCAATGAACTCAAGGGTTGCATAGTAATAGATCGCAAGGCCATCGACAGTTTTGTCATTGGCCATGCCGACAATAGAACCCTTCATGTTGGGGTCTGCGATGGGCGACCGGTTACCCCAGAGATCACCATAGAAGAACACATGGCGACCCAGGTACGAGACACTAGGGGCCATCTGTTCCTGGGCCATCTCTTTTAAATGTTCGTTCAAATATTCGTAGATATTGGTATTGTACGACTCGGCAATTGAGATCGCCTGGTTGAAGGCTGGGTGAGTCTCGATCACATACTTGAGCAACTCACCCGTGGCAGACTGTCCACCTTCCGCCATCCAATACCCAGGCTGGATCGTGTCACGGTACGGTCCCCAGACGCCAGTAACAAATACAGGGTTTGGCGACATGGCGATATGGCACGTTGAGGTGCCCGCGACAGCAGCCAAGCGTGAGAAAGCCTGTGCCTTGTCGTTCTTGGCAACTTCAGAGCTCAGCTGTTCGTCCTCTAAATCGACCTTGGCGCCAACGGTGCCTATCCAACCAGCGTATGCATCGATAACACCACTGCCGATGGCGATACCAGGCGGCAGCCCCAGCTCAGACGCTGCTTTTTCGCACAATGTTCCGACTAATTCGCCCGCGCTGAGGTAATCACCATTCTGGAACCAGTCAGCCTTCAAGAACGCTGAAAAGTAGATCGTTTGTCATGGGATAAGGGGAGAAACGAAAAGGCTCACCACCCCATCAACACCCCCCATGCGCTTGAAATTGTCCTCCATAAGATCCTCCAGACCAATTTCGGTGAGAAAATCCGCCTGCCAACCCTTCACACTTCCGTCGACACCAACAGGCACGTATCCTTGCTTGCAGACCACACTACAGAAGCTTCGCTTTTCATTACCGGTAGCAATATGCGTCAGAGCATCGGCCAAGTCGTAGAATTTGCACTGGTCAAATAGCTCCTTCGGCATATTGTTCTTTAGCCACAGAACCTTGGGAATTTCCATCTCGATCGACATCTTTCCTCCGACATATCGCAGCAAGTTGTGCTTGGTAGCATTGATCTTTTCCGTCTCTTCCACTGGCCGATGGTCCAGCCAAAGGATCACATTGCGGTCAGAATCGAAGTTCGGCCCGGTGACGGATACGGGCTCGTCTGTAATCGTGGAGAATACGGCCAGCGAGCACGTCGCGTCGAACCCAATGCCGCGGATAGTAGTTGGGTCGATGTTATGCTGGCTGATAGCGCGCTGAACCGACAGGCATATACATCGCCAGATATCGTTCGTGGATTGTTCCTTTGACGAATTGTCAGGCAACAGTCAAGAAGACGGAAGAAGCCTAATCGGACGTACGTACATAGTATCCCTGTTGGGGCTGCCAGAGACCAATATTCTCGGAAGCTAATCCAACAATATTGCCTTTTGCATCAATAATACAAGCGCGGGCACTACCAGTACCAACATCTATTCCGATGTAATGATCCTGGTGGATCTGAATGTCGTCTCGAGGGTCCATTGAAGCCTGTCGAGAAGGCTGCCTGGAAGGCTGCCTAGACGAACGATACGGCAGCGAAGCCATACTGGGTAGAATGTTACCAGAAGGCATAAGCAACCCGTAGCCAGGTTATGATTTTGGGGAGGTTGCCTGCCCAAGCTGTCAGGCCCGGCTGAGGTACATGATATATCTAACTAGAGTGTTGCGGAGGGCTGAGCTCCGCGTTGGGGCTGTTGATCAGGATGGGGTAGTGGGGTACGTCGATCATTAACTTACCCCTCTGAGCCGCCTAAGCACGTATTTATACCGGTAGAAGTATGGGTGCTTCGAACGCTTTTTACTAGGAACACTGAAGCTGAGCAGGGGGAAGAGAGAAGGAAACGCAGATCCTTTTAAATCTTTAACCTTTCGCCTATTAATATCAACTGCGACCCTTTTCCATGCAACGGAAGAAATGATCTAGAAATAACAATGGCAGATTGACTTCTTCATAAAACGAGCAAGACAGGTATAGGAGTTTCTATGTCTCTTCAGCGTCCTTCGATGGCGCATATATATATATATATATATATATATATATTCAATTCTGATAACTCCACGGTAGGCCGTAATTATTGATACCTGGAGAGTACGTAGTAGATTAGGTAAGGTATCATTATTAAGGTATTATTGTTATTTTCATCATGATTATGATCATATTTCCCCTCAATAGCAACAGGCATAGCATTTCTATATTTGCAAAAATACGATTCCAAGAAATTTACTTGGACTAACATTCAGACTGAAGTGACCATTTAAGGTAGGTAGTAGGTACGTAGCTTAGTGTACCAGTTAACTAGTTATACCAGGTATGTGGCCCGCCTTATCAAGGTTGGTACCTCCGGGACGCTAAAATACCTAAGGTACCTTAAAACATATGCGAAGTTAACGACATCCCATAACTCCCCTAGTGAACACCGCCAACTACCCATTGCTGGGGAATAGGAGCACTGAATCGCATACTGGTTTTCCAGAATTTATAGTGAGTATGCATGCGGCTAGAATCTCACATCATTAAATTCCTTCCCTACTTGATTTATTACGCTCGATGCTGATTTTATGCTTGTCTGAATTAGGGGAATCCTCCTCGGTGCACCCTCCGATGATGCGATAAATAGATCTGCCTCACCTCAATCTTCTCTGTTTTCTCTGCAAATCCGACCAACATCTTCATATTCCTCCCCCTTACCGCCATCTTCCAATATGCACTTCTCTCAGGTCATCCTCCCATTCCTTTCCCTATTCTCCTCTCGGGCTTTCGCCGCATCTCCGTCCTCCGCTCAAGCTAGGTCAGCGGACATCCTGTGTTGGCCGGTAGCCTCGTCTCAACCCTCGGTACTCGCCCGCGTCTCGTACGATCCTGCGTCTTTAACGTCAAATGTGGTAGCCTATTCTCCACCAAGGATTGCGGATCTTGAAGGCCGCCGTGATTTAGAAGCAGATGTCCAAGATCTCGTCCGCGTGGGTCTCTTCACCTCCACGCCAACCAACCCACAACAATGGGTAGGGTCTCTTACGTCCCTCTTTTTGCTTGCAGAGAGTGAGGACCAAAAGCCAACTCTGCGACTTCATCTTGGGCCCTCAGGCGAGGTCTACCACGTTTCATTGGCGGCGTCTTCATCATCTGCGGCAACGTCCAGCTCAGCAGGCTTGAACATAGAACTCCTTTCCAGCGAAGACGGTCCGCGTCCGCATCTCAATCGGCCTGTTGTTGTCGGCCCAGATGGGAAGAATCCAGAAGAGGTCGTTGAGAAGACCTTTTTCCAGAAGTAAGTGCTCGGTCTCCTCCCTCGCGTTCTTCTATGGCGTCGGCAAAAGAAAGGCCATATTCTGACAATACCTCGCATCTGCTTAGATATTGGTGGGTCTTCCTCATTATTGCATTTTTGGCCATGTCAGGTAGCGCTGAAGGACAATAAATTTCACAATTTATCCGTCGGCGTATCTGTCAGTCCTCCATCTATGGCTTCGTGGACAGGAGGCGTAGTGCCTTCAAGACTTGCGACGCAGATCGCGCAGATCCGCACGGTCGAGATTTTCTGTCTACGCCTCTCTTCCCAATCAGGCTCTCGGGCATCCAAGGAGGCCCCAGCCGGCGCGGAGAATTGTTATTCTTCCTTTTAATGTTTAGACGTAGATGCCTCATTCTCGACGCATCCATGTGTTGATTGTTCTTTATTCTATTCCATCCACCTCATGCAGAGCATTGTCTCGTTCTCATCGCGGCGAGTAGTTACTTTGAAAACGCCACGGAGGTGAAAATCGGTAAAGGTATGGAGTGGCAGGAGCTCGTCTGCTGTAGACCAGCGTCCAATGTGTATCCGACCATCCCAGCACCATACCGTTATCCCATGCCAAACGTTCTCTACTTCTTCTTGCACTAGTCAATGAAAGATGACATTTTTTTTGTTATCATTTGCGGTATCCCTAACCAGGATCCGTCAGTACAGTAAACCGTATGATCAAGGCTATACTTACTTGTGAGCTTTAGTAAACCAGAGGATGATTGATCCATAGACATCGTTGATTATACTATCAGGGTTGATCAAGCCTCTGACAGCGAGCTGTATGTCACTCCATTTCGGGTAGGCATCCTTGTCATACTGGTCGCGGATGAAGTCGCCTATTCGGATTCAGACGTCAGTGTATGTATTATAATGATGTGACTCGGAAGATAGAGAAGGTTAGACAAACCACGCCGACACCCAATAGCGCTCTGAAGGACAGCCATCGTGAGTTTGATCCCATGAGAGGGTCCCACGGGTCAAAGCATGGTCAAGCCATGCAGCTATCATTCTTTCGGACAATATGTTGGCATGCTCACGTTTGGGGCTTTGTATGCTCCTTAAGAAGAACACCTTTTGACACGAGTCTGTTAAGACAAGAGTCAATGTGCAGAGCAACATGTCTGTTGGTCTGGATATCTGGATATCTTAACTGCATGGCAGAGAAGGCATGCAAGATTCCATAACGGATAGTTCGAACATTGATTGTGACAGTGTAGCTGTGGTTTGGCTTCAATTTTGTGACGATTGTTTCTATAAAACGTACGAAATCTTCGGCTGTCAGTGGGCTCGACAGGATATCTGGGTACTAAGTCAGATACTGTTAGTGATGGTGAGAAACCAGAATATTTGCCATTTCTAGACAGTACTCACTCTGGATTCGTCATCTCTCTATATGCAACAATCGACTTTCCCATATGTCAATTAACCTCTGGGTTTTGGGAGACGCGGCTATTAGTCCTAGTGATAGGAACCGCTCTTTCGAACGGAATTCTGTCTTCCTTGTTGGGCTGTTGCATTGCCTTGATTGACTCCAAGCCAGTACACCGCTTCTCGGGTATTACAGGACCGACCTCGTCGTCCGAATTGAAGCCCTCCATCGAGGGGAATGGCTGGTTTGAATGAGAAAAGAGAGAATCGATGATACGAATAGTCAAGTTAAGAGCTCACAAAGTTAAAAACGTCGGATGAAACGAGGGAGGTCTTTCAAATAGAACCAAAAAACAGGACGGCGTCGATTGAGATTAAAATGCAGGCTTTGAGTTAGCCATGGGAAGATGGGATACCCCAGATCAGGGACATGGAGGATGAGAGACGATTCCATAGGTGTCTGTTGGTCCTGATTTCCGTGCTCATGATCATCTCATTTTAAAGGCAACTAGCCACACAATATACATGGTTCTGTAAAAGAAAAATCCTGGGGTATCAAAGTCACCTTCCTCGCATGTTCATCAGTAAACGAAATTTCAGGCTTCCGCCTATTTCTTCACTTCAATCTTCTCCCCCCTTAGAAAGTCAGCCGTTGAGTAATTCTCTGCCCTTTACCCAACGGGCCAAGGTCCCAGTACATCACGCCCCTATCGGTAATAGCTATCAGTTCATCTTCTTGATGCGTGAAGCCGAGCTTGAAGCACACGGCATCCAGCGGGAGAACAACCGGTCGTAGTTCGATCATCCCTGAACTTGTTGATCGAAAGGATGTAGGGTAAAATCCATTCGCATTTTCTTCGATAAGCGCATTTGGCTCAAGAGCCCACACATAAATCACGTTCCAATTTGCGACAGCAAGGCGAGTACCACGATCTGATGCGGCAATTTTACAACCAAGAGAATTTGTGGGATTCTGGAATCCCCATAGCCGAGCTACTATTGTCCATTGCGAAAATCGTCTCCCACGGTCGAGGTTCAAGACATGCCCACAGTTCTGAGCTTGACATCGAGCTTCGGATTTCAATAGGCACGCGACGGTCCAGTTCTCCTTCCGATGGGTCGCTATACCGAAGGCAAGGTACTGCCAATGGCACATTCCAATATTATTCTCATTCCGCCTCGCATGTGTACCGAAGAAGGGTATTGCAATCGAAAAGAGAAGGCTCAAAGTGTCCGAGAATTGCACCATGCACGCATTCTGATGTAGAGTTGGCTGTGGGTCCACAAGGGGGTGCGCATTTATACTCTGAATTCTCTGAAAGGAACCATATAACGTTTGAGCGCGGTGATAATAGAGCAACTGGCTTGATCTGTCATTGAAGGAAATGTCGATGGCAGGACCATTATCATAAGGGCTGGACAGACCCTCTTGACGATACCTGTTACTACTCTGTCGCTGTCTATTCCCGTCGATAAGTGTGATAGCATTGTAATTGCAATCTATACTTGCATCAGATGATGACCAATGACAAGACTGTCCTTATATTTAGAGCACCGGGTAAACCTGGACAGCAGAGAGTGTAACGTACCAATTACTCCAGAAGTATTGCTGCTCGACTGTTTTGGAGAGTTGTACAGAACAACCTCATAATCGTCGCTTTCACGGAAGTGCTGCCAAGAGATTGCAAAGGTGCTCTCTCCGGCAGCAGCAAGAGCGAGGGGTTCATACTCCGCATGGTCTGGAAAGGCACATACGCGAATGGGCTCATTGAGTGTCTGAAGTGAGTGACGCGCCATATACACACTGACACGAGGACCAGACCGTATCGCATGTCTCACGAACGGGTGTGTAGCGCCAAAACCGTCTTCGTCTATCGCTGGTACCAGACGATGAAGAACGTTAACGCCTCCTTCTCTGTCAAATGCTGTTTTGAGCACCTCTATCCTTCCTGACTGATCCTCAGGTGATCTCAGCTGGGCCTTCAGGTGCAGCTTCCCGTCCTTGGCCTGGAAAACACAAACATCCTGCCGACCTTTCAGAGCGAGAGCGATGTCTCGGTCACCATGAGAAGCTAGCGAAGATGCTCGGGCATCGAACGCGAACTGTTCAAAACAGAATGTTGTACATTTCGCGGAAAACTGTGCACCATATAGCTGCTGGAACGAACGCTTCATGAGCAGCTGAAAAAGTTGCCTGGTCTTGAGACGGCGTGTGTCTACCTTCAAGCCGGGTGTTTTATGCAGATGATGCAAAATCACTTCCCGGCTACTGGATGCAATCTCATGCAGGGCTCGACAGGACAATGCCGCCTGTAGAAAGGAAGTCGTAGTCGAACTTTGAAGGACGAGCTGGATTAGCTCCGGTGGAAGATCGCGCAACATGGCTCAGAGCTTGGCTGGTGTTTAGATGGAACAACTGTGACAGAAGTTGGAGGAAGCTGCTAGCAATTGTCTCGTAGGAAACGAAATCATAGTTCATTAGCCTTGCATCACTGCCATATCATTTATAGGTCTCGGAAAATGAGAGGATCTGAGTGGGGGCTGCCTTGATCCCATAGTTCTTAGTATCACCGCCCGCCATTGTTGCCTGTTTGCGAATCTTTTTTAAGAATACCATACATTGTCGTCCTCAGGCAGCACTTTAGGCATCAGAGCCCTGAGGTATATTCAGAACATATCTAACAGTGATATGTGCAGTAAGTGGGCTTAATGTCCCTTATTTGTCTATCGAGAACTAAAGCCATCAAGTCCGTCTTTTACTTGAGTTATCTTCGCTGCGTCTCTAGCCCAGGGCACAATTCATACAAATCCCCGCTGATATCTCTAGATATATGCAAGCCAACCCATTCTCTGCCTGAGAACGACCGGTAAACGAGTTTAAGGAAACGGGAAAAGAATCTAGACGAAAATATGTTCTTCTGCTTGCACTGCATCAAACTTTCTAAGATCCAAGTAGCGTATATAATAGAACATGTGTGACAGAATTGTGAATGAGATATCTCTCTCAGTCACCCGTAGAGCCAAGAAGCTTCAATGCTTGTTGCAGATGCTAGTTATAGCAATGGAAAGCGTTTGAGTCAAGGATTTTCACATCCTTCGTCCATTTGGACAACCATCCACTCTAATACACTTTCATAGCATAAGACAAACTGGCTCAAATTTTGTATCATGCTAGGTCGCTGAGTTCGAAAGTCGGCGACTGTCTTTGCAATAAGGTCCAGGTTATCGTTATAAATCCACCCAGTATCAGGCCGTTCACTGATTTCTTGAGATTCAGTCTTTCGTGCAGTGCGCTGCCGTTTTAGCATGTCCAGAACACTATCCACTGTACAGAAGGTACCAGTACGGCCGCATCCCGCACTGCAATGCACCAATACAGGGCGATGTTCGGTTGGCATTGCCTCGCGACTATCAAAGCACGTATTGCTTGTTGCCCGTATGACTGCGTTGCATTCATCGACCAGCTGAAGGAGATGTGATGGTTGCGAGGTAGTACCAAAATCCGGCCAATAGGGATATTGCAGCTGGGTAACTTCTCGCAGTGGTTGAAATGGGAAAGCCGAGTGTGACAATCCAAAATGTCTGACGATAATGCATGGATCGCTGGGCTCTTCGCTAGAATCCGAAAAAGACATGGTTGACTGCCGCTGGTTTTGGTGGGACCCTGACGCTTTCATAGGAATGCGCCGCTCAGAAAAGTTATTGACTCGAAAAGGCCCATAGTTCCCTGACTCCCAATACGGGTGACATTTAACTTGGCCTCTTTCAATTTCTGCCGTCAAGGAAACGACGAGTCGAACATCTTGTTCCCAGATTACACGCCAAAAGTCCTATGTCTCCATCAGCCTGCTTGTCTCAATCTTACCGTGGGCAATCTTCAATTGAAGGTGTAGAGAATAGGAAGTAGGTCAATCGATAAAATGAACTTACATCAAATGTTTCGGGCACGGGAGCTTGCGTTGCTATGTAGCGCTTATTGCTGTATTCAGCCTTCATGTAATTCGCGTTCACATAATCACAACCTCCTGATGGAACATCCTGCAATCGAACCCTGGAATGATCGAAGGGATAGATATTATTATATCTGTTCTTATTGCCCTTCTCGATCCCTGCAACTCGATACTTCTTCGACGGAGCTTCCGCAGACGTAGAAACTCCGGTCATTTCATATGATAGAGCTTGTTTCATACGGTCTAATTCCTTCTTCTCGAGCTCCAGGAATTTCTCTGAAACCTTCTGACCTCCATCTTCGACGTCGGAAGCGTCACGGAGCCATCGTGGAAGCAATCGTCTTTTGGAGTCTGTAAAATTCAGTGGAAGCTGGAGCGGAATCTGACCAACACCGCCCATAAGATCCATATGCTGGCGAATATTCCCAAAGAAGGGAATGGCGGCAGAGGAAGACTCCGGCAAAGCACAGCCACCAGCAATAGGCGCAAAAGATGGAAGGCTAATCTGCATCGAATTAGGCCTCCTTGAAGATACTCCAGGGTTCGATGATTCAGGCTGCTGAACAAGCGCATTAAACTGATTGCAGAAGACCTTGAACCCACCCCGAAGGATCGAACCTTCGCCGTTCCATCCCTCAGCCGTAAACTTGTTCAACATATTGATCATTGGCGCCGCATCTTTCATGTCAAGTGTAGCAGCGTCATAAACGATGATGTAGCGGCATTGTTTCCATCTCGAGAACGATCTCCGGTCAATGTCGCTCGTGAAGGTGTTGGCCAACTTCCGCGTGTCAAAGGAAGTCCGTTTGAGGAGCGTGGTAGGGATACAGAGGTTTAGCGATCCCTTGATGTGTCCCCTGGCATAATGTGCATAAGGCCGCACATCTAGTAACAAAACATCGTTTCCACAAGTCACCAATAATTCTGCGCATTGCTCACATGACATGATATTGACATTAGTCGGGGCCAGGTTCCCCGAGGAAGTGTTGTTATAAGTGGCCATTGAATCATTTTGTTTCGAATCCCCGCTCAATGACATTCTATGCAAACCCGCGTCATTCTCAGAGCGAGCCTGGGACAGATCTACCGATCCTCCCGCAATTCCTGGGTCAATTAAGTTCGCATTGCGGCTCAAGTGCGAATTTTGGGTCCACGAGGATGGATGTCGATGGTTCTTGGCATTGGTCGCTTCTCTCGCAACCGTTCTGTCACGCGAGTCCTCAACCTTGATGGTGAAATAGCTAGGGCTCGGTTGCACCAAAAAGGCATTTTGCAGGCCGTCGCCACTTTTGGTGGGAGACGAATTGGTATCTCGCAGTGACAAGAGAGACGCTGGACTTGAAAGACCATTTAACTGCAGGCTTTGTGACTCCTGAGTCCACGGGGACGAAGGTGATTGTCTCTGGTCAGCCGTAGTGGACATGTTGATTGCCAAGGCTAGAATGCCTGCTGGTTAATCTCTGAATACCGGCAGTCCCACAATCAAGCGCGAGGCCCTTGTGCCATCTCGAAATGCCGCAATAAGCAAGACACCGGCTTCCGCAAGGGCAATTTCTTTTCAGAAAGATGTCAATATTAATTCGGGTATTCGATCTAAGCACGGATCATTATTTCCTCAGGCCCGAATCTCGTCGATGAATGATGGCAGGTCAGGAGTAAAGTAAAGCTCGTTTCAATTCGGCGCCACAGAGGTGTTGATATCGAGAAGCGTTCTGTTCAGGAGAGGTAATGAGTGAGATGGAAGAGCAGCACCAGATGGGGACAATGTAATGTATTAGAATCCAAAGAAAACGACTCCAATAGATTATAAAAAGCTTTCGTCGTCGAGATTTTGAGAAACGGGATTGGGGGGGCTTCGAGATGGGCGGATTGGAGTCTAGCCATACGCTTGTTTGACCTGGTTATAAGACTCGCATGAGAGAAATCAATAACTGACGAAACACTAGACTCGGCACATAAGTCTCTAATGATGTGGCAGCTAAGGCCGAAACGCGTGCAGAAGAATTGGTCTTGGTCGATTATCACCAGTTTACCATCATGAATACAACTGGTATAAGGAGGTGAACAACAGACCGACATGGAAATAGCGAACGGAGTTTGAGAAACTCGGCAGAGAAAGTTCCCTTGGTATGACGTTATGGGTGGGGACAGTCGTCAAGCGGCAAAATATGCAGAAAATCCATGTAGTGAGACTGAACGGCCGTTCTGGATCTTTGACGAGCCCCCTCAGAAACCTGGAAGAATGCTGTGGCAACGCTGGCAAGGCATCATCGGGCTTTTAAAAAGGGGTCTCCAATCAGAAAGCAGAACAGCTGAGAATCATGTTATTGTTATTCAGCGACAGAGCCATGACACAAATAGCATCTGGCAGAAGTTTATTACTACTTACAGTTTTGTGTTACTGCACCATGATTTATAGGTATAGAATAATGCAGTACTTATCTGGTAGGAGACAGCCCTGGGTGCATTGTCAGTTCAGCAGTCGATAGTCATCTGCCAGGCTAATATCATTATATGTTTATTGATTACTGTTGTTTGCTAATCTACTCTTGACTGTCTGAGTGATGTCTAGAAGACCTGGATATGCCTAACTTTACCTATTAACCTATGTCTAGCAGCTGGCTAACATCTTAATATATAAAGTAATTGCATGTTTAATCTGTATTAGAGGACATCATGCTGATCTCTACGCCTCCGTGTACACTATCATTTGATTATACTAGTAAAGAATACCCCTCTATTTAGTTTAGTAGAATGGTAGAATATCATAATGAGCACTTTGTGATATGGCAATTTATACATGATTCAAAGAGACTAGGCGCGAAATGGAGGTCTAAGGATACCATGGCAAATAAGGCGATTTAGCTTGCTTAGCTTGAGTTCTAAGATGAACGAATAGAGAGATATACTTTAATGGATTGGGTTAGTTTCTAGACATATCAGACATGCGAGAGTTAGAAAAGATAGGATGCCTCTCACCAGGATGAAAATTAGGTTTTAATTCATGTCATCATCAAATGTGGTTCACTTGTGACTGCCACAGCCAACATAAGCCTGGTAGTCAAAAATATCCTGCTGAAAACCAGCACGAGTAGCGCCTGTCTTCGAAGGGCGTTGTTCAGCTATTAAGAAGCTTAAAGTTTCCCATCGGGTTCCCCCTTAAACCTTTGGACTCGTTTTTGTTCCCAATTATCCAGGTCTTTGGCCATGAGCCGCTTGAACAGGTGTTAATGATAGCCTCAGAACAAGCTCATCTGAATTAGGTCAACTCACATAATATTCCTCCCTCTCATCTCCGAGAACTCTTCTGCGTGGATTTCTCCTGATCCCCTCTTCACCATCTGCCCCTTTGAGCCCCAGCTCCATAGCTTCCTCTTGTGTGAGTTGCTTCACTTTTCGGTCATATCTTTCATATCTTAACGCGGCGGCTGGAGTCAAGGCGAAAGACCCCGCAACAATGATCATGATGAATGGAAGACCAAAGAGCAGAAAAGGATGCTTCGGTAGGCTTCCTCTATATGCTGCGCCGATCCGTTCTCCCAGCGACGATGAGGCTGTTGTCGCACGCCGGAATGTTTTTGCCTGAAAAACAGGCATACTGAAGGCTGACCACTAAGTGTGCACCTAATTAAAGCTCCTGTCCAAGCGTGGCACTTTGCACGTGGGTACTCAAGAGGATGAAGAAATATGGAGTATTGTTTCCCTTAATTATCCTCTGTAAATATCATAGTGTTGACAAGAGTATCTACCGGATAGAGGTAATAAAGTTCGGATCTAAGCAACCGGTGAAACATTAATTCCGACATGGCTTGTTGCGCAGCAAATGAGCCATTTTCACTATATTTATGTTAACTACAATATTTTGTACAGTTGGTAAACACAAACTGCTCCAGCAGTTGGAAAGACCAGCAAGCAGATGTAAGATAACCTGCTAGTTCCCTGTTATTTTTACATTGTTCCTTTTCATCTACTTCTGTCCACACATTCTTATGAGTCTGCGAGCTTCCCACATTCATATATTTTCCAGTGCCAATCACCTGCTCTAACCCTCGGTAGAGATCGCCCGAATTGAATGAGTACCCGTTTGTGGCTCAGTCTGCTTTTGTCGAAAATATCAAGCTCATTCATCGTCGCGTGTCCGAGACCAAGCCAACGCGGCACACTGCTTCGATGTCTGCAACAAACCCTGGCTCCTTATTTGGAGCTGGTGGCCTAGGAACCGCAACTCAACCGGCGAGCTCAGCTTCGGCTGTCAATTCAACGAGTATTTTTGGAACTCCTGCCACAACTCAAGCTGCACCGAATGCTTCGCTCTTTGGTAATCAGCCGCCAACCCAGCAACAGCCCCTTCAGTCCTCGATCTTTGGACAAGATCAAGCACAGATGAGTTCGGGACAACCCTCGCGACCTTCTGGCCAAACTACTCAGCCCGCATTCTTCAACAGCCTCCTAGAGCGTGGCAAAAAGAGACCAATTGCTTCAGTTGGCCAAGGCAGCAATTTCGAAGAGTTACCCAGCCTTCAACTAGGCCTCGATGACATTCGGAGGAAAGCAAGAGAACTCGGCAGTAGAGGGTTGAACGACCCCCTCCATCCTGCTTCGACCAGTAAAGCGTAAGCTTTGCCTTCGCCTGGCGTTGGGTCATGATTTGGATCATCTGCTGATCTCTATCTTCTATAGCCACTATCTTCTTGCCGCTTCGGGCGTGTCGCCTGGGCATGCTTTACGGGATCTCAAAGCACTAGATCCCCAGGCTTCAATAGGTCTCCCTCCAAAGGAACAGGAGGTTTTTGACCCCGACAACCAGAAATTCTTGAGAAGCATACAACAGCGTGGGCGTAAAGTGATGATTGCCGAAAGTCTTGCTCGAGCTCAGAGAGACTTTGATACATTCCTGGAGGAGAAGGTGGACTTAGACTGGGAGGATCAGCGCCAGAGAATCTTTCGGCACTTTGGACTGGCACATAAGGATGGCACTATTGGCGACATGAGAAATTCATTCGGTCGCTCAACGAGACCTTCCAGACTAACTGGTTCTTTGCCGTCCCACGAAGCTGCGGGCGTCTCCCGCCGGAGTGTTTTCGGACGTTCCGGCCTGGGAAAGTCAGTCATAGGCAACCCTGGAACCGGGAAAACAAGTCATCAGCTTTTCGAGGATCCCCTGGAACGCAGCGATGCATCTGGAACTCACTCCCCGGATCTTCGATTTTTGCGCGAAAAAATGGGTCATTACGCGGACAAAGTTCAGCTGTTAAATTCCGCGCGGATTCAAGGGCAAGTGTTTCCGCTTCTTCATGAATTTTCTGAAGTGGAGCGGCATGCTGGTGGTGATGTAAGTTACGGTGATACAGCCATGATCCCAAGGTCGACTAATTTTATTAGGCACCTTGCCAGCTTTTTGATGCGTACCGAGCTTTGATCAGTATTGTAAAAGAGCCCCCGAGCACCACCAGTCCCTCGGATCCCAGTACGGTGAGAGAGCGACAGTTCTCTGAGGATTATCTGGACGAGACACCAAACTCACGCCGGGCAACGAACCTCAAAAAACGCATAGTCGAGGGCTCTCGTTCCTTCCTAGAGAAAGTATTTTACAACGAAGTCGAGAATATGATCGCAAAGAATCCTCGAGAAGCGCAACTTGGAGGAATTCCGACGGTTATCAACAAAATTCGAGCCTATATTCGCTTGAGGGCGGCAAGGAAAGACCTTGCACCAGACGGAACTGAGCTACAGATGGTCGGGCAGGATTATTGCTGGATTTTGATATTCTATCTTCTTCGGTGCGGATTCATCACTGAAGCGGCTGAATATGTTAGCCAAGATCCTGGCTTCCGGTCCCTTGATCACAAATTCGTGACATATATGACGACTTATGCACAAAACAGACGGCTACCGCGAGATTTGCAGCAAAAGATCAATGGTGAATATCAACAGCGTTCACGCAATGCCCCTGATAACACGGTTGATCCGTATCGCATGGCTTGCTACAAGATCATTGGCCGGTGCGACCTAGCCCGTAGGCGCTTGGAGGGCATAAATCAGAGTGTGGAAGATTGGATGTGGCTTCAGTTCAGTCTGGCCAGAGAAGATGACCGTGCTGAAGAAATCGCTGGGGATGTTTTTGGCCTCGAGGATATCCAGACGGATATCGCCGAGATCGGTCAGCGCATTTTTGGCAAGGGCCAGGAGGCATCCGGTGGTTACGGCATTTTCTTTCTACTGCAGATCTTAGGAGGGATGTTCGAACAGGCAGTTTCATACCTCGGCTCTTATGCGCCAGTCAGTGCGGTGCATTTCGCAATCGCCTTGGCGTACTATGGTCTGCTACGTGTGTCAGACTTCTACACATCTGCGGAGGAAATTTGTAAGCATTTCTTCCCAAGCCTCATACTTCCCTGTGACGTCTACTGACAAAATTAGTATCATTTACTGTGAAACAATATCCCCAGATCAATTTCGGACATCTCATCACCCAGTACACAAGGGAGTTTCGTACTGGATATGTTGAGGCAGCGATCGATTACTTTTGCTTGCTCTGTCTTAACGCCGACCTCCCAGGTTCTCTGGGCAAATCTCAAGCATCCGTGTGTCACGAAGCATTGCGGGAATTTGTTCTTGAGACGAGGGATTTTGCCAAATTACTTGGTGACATCCGCTCGGACGGGACTCGAATTAAGGGCTTGATTGAGCAGCGCATGAGCTTGATCAAATTGGTCGACCAAGAAGAATTTTTGAAAACCATAACAATACAGGCTGCTGCGATCGCGGATGACAAGGGGCTGGTAACGGATGCGGTCCTCTTGTATCACCTTGCTGAGGATTACGACCGCGTAATCGACATCATCAACCGAGCACTGTCGGATGCTGTAGCAATGGAGTTAGGGGGCCCCGGTTTGAAGCTGCAGCCGTTGCGGCCACGAACTGATCTTCAACAGCATGCCAATGATGAACATGGAGAGGCCACGGAACCTGGAAGTAGCCTAAGTCTTACAGCAGTGGATGATCCGGTGGTTCTGGCGAAGAATATGATTGGCCTCTACAATACGAACGCTCTTTATTACCAGCGAATCCGTCAGATCAATCGCGATGCCTGCGGTTTATTGCTTAGAATGATGGAGGCGAAGGGAGAAGTTGAAGCAGGCCAATGGACGCCGGCTCTGGATGTAAGTCTCACTCCTTTTCACTTCCACACCTCGTCCTCGTTCTCTTCCACTGATTAACTCTCCCTCAGGCTATCAATGAACTGAACATCTTACCCTTGCGTGCAAGAGGCTCGGTTTCCTTCATTCGAAGTGCTGCTCAAGCTTTCTCGTCTTTCCCTCCAATCATTGCACGTAACGTGGGGCATGTGATAATGTGGAGTATTACTTGCATTGGCCATGAAAGGACCAGGTTGAGTTCTGGAGTGTATGAGAACGAGACCAGGCAAGGCCTAGCTGATGAATTACTCGTCATGGCCAAGGATCTGATGATATTCTCCGGCATGGTCAAGTACAAATTACCGCCGAGAGTCTATGAGACTCTTGCTCGCGCCGGAGCGGATATCGGGGCTTACTAGTGGTTGTCATCTGGAGTATCTGGCTAGGTAGTCCGCGTATCAGACCTCAGAATTCAGGTATTCAAAATCCAAGAACGCTGCTTGTGAAGAACCAACTACCTGAATTCTATTAATTGCTACTGCGTAGCAGCATCTTGCTCAGTTTGGCGAGTCAAAGACCAGATAAGGTATCTCAGTCTATACTTCCTCTCTTCTCCGCGTTCTCTACTCTCACTCTAGTCCGCTCCAACTTTCTATCTCCTTCCCTCGCTGGAATTCAGTATTTGCCGGTGCTCTGAAATTGACGGGAGCCAAGCGCAGATACGAAGGCCTACTTAATCCGGCAATCCCTCTCCCAAGCAACTTGAGACCTAATTCTGTAGTAATCGAAGACGGTTCCCGCGTCTGAGCCCGAGACAGAACATGCGAAATCCAGGAGCATTTATACTGTCCGTCAAAAAAAGGGAAGAACAAATCTGCACTCTGGTATTACTACGTATTACCTATTCTGTATTCCATACTTCGTACCAGCTAGATACTCTGTACGGAGTACTGATGGCACTAATAAATTGATAAACAGATAAGATTGCGGCTTTGGGTGTGGGGCCGTCCGTACATGTAACTTGCTACAGCATTGAGCTGCAACCTAGCTTCGACACTGCTCACTCGACATGGACCATGACCACTCCGATGCCTCTGACTCGAGCTCGAAGCCAATACAATCTGATCAAGAAACAGGAATCTTGCACAACAATGAAGATGTGGCTCGGCCAATCCCCAGATTGGGACCTGGACTGGTTGGAAATGTGGAGAGAGGCCGCCACAGCAGCACTGCGCACCATGACACGGCTTCCGGAAGTCAACCGCAGCACTATCACGCTGGGAATTCCATAGGAAAATCTCCAGGATTAACAGGTTTTGGTAGTACGGAAACCGGTGTGGCTTCACAAAGTGATATCGTTGAACAAGTGAATAACAATGATGTGTCTATTTCCTCCAGTACCAACCAAGACACAATGTCAAGCTATAGCCTTATCGACAATCCTCCCAATCTTGCAAGGATACGACAAGTCATGTTTGAGTGCAAAGAACCTATTGAAATCAGCCTTGAGGAGTTCGAGACATATTGGCCTTTCATTGATAATGTCTGGGTGAAGCAACGGTCGAACTCGAGCAAAGAGGGACATTGCACCACAGACTATTACATGTGCCGTCTACGACGTCCAACCCATCGCACGTCAGAGACACGTCCATTGCCGGAGGGCAAACGTTCCCGCAAGAAACGCGTTCGAGAAGGTGGCATGTGCAATTTCCAAATCAAGGTGGTTCGGTTTGAAGGCGCCTATTCCACTGTCACTATTGCGCGGACACCCGGTAGCAGCCACGTACACTCCCATGATCTTGACTATATAGACAAAGTAAAGCGGAACTCGGGGCTCATGGAGTTTGCGCGAAAGGAGGCGGTCAAGGGCTATCTGCCTTCTTCTATTTACACGAAATTTCAAGAGGAACCTGAAAAATTGATTGAAGCTGGAGGTAAATTTTGTACAGTCACGGATGTCCGCAATGTCTCAGCAAAATGGCGCATCCAGAATCCAGAAGTCAAACTTGTGCCGCACGAAGGTTACACCTATCAAAAAGGGCACGGGATCGTGAGAGCTCGGAGTACTAGCGACACAAACCAGCCAAAAATCGCTAGAAAGCCACCGAACCTAACAGGCCCGTCCCCTCTGCCGCCAGATACATTGTCGTTTCCTCAATTTCCGTTGGAATTTCTTGACTCTTACCTTCCGAGACTCGACGAGAAGCGCGAACTGCCTCATGTCACTTTGTCATATGCATCATCTATGGATTCCAAGATATCACTTCTCCCAGGAATGCAGACAGTGCTCTCGGGACCAGAAGCCAAGCTGATGACGCATTATTTAAGGTCACGCCACGACGCGATACTCATCGGAGTGGGCACTGTTTTAGCTGACAACCCCGGACTAAACTGCAGATTAGAAGGTGCAGGCGGTTTTGGGGCCTTGGGAGAATGTGGCAACCGCGGCCTGTGGTGATCGATCCGACAGGACGATGGCCAGTCCATCCTGAGTGCAGGATGCTTCGCACTGCAGTCGAGGGCAAAGGGAAAGCTCCGTGGGTCATCGTGTCCCCTGGAGCCCAGATCCATCCGCAGAAATTGATGATGTTGAAAGGCTACGGAGGGGACTTTCTGCGTATAGTCGAATATAACCAGAACTGGCGATTGCGCTGGGAAGCTATTCTACGCGCATTGGCATCCGAGGGCATCAAGAGTGTTATGATCGAAGGCGGTGGCACAGTTCTGAGCGAACTCTTGAATCCCGAGTACACCGAATTCATTGACTCTATTATTGTCACCGTTGCTCCAACATACCTGGGCCGTGGCGGGGTGGGAGTGAGCCCTGATTCAAAGCGAGATGAGCAAGGTAAACCGAATGCCGCTCTCAATCCAAGGGAGATAAAATGGGTACCGCTAGGCCAGAACGTCATAATGTGTGGGAAAATTCGCGCTGCTCCATCTGATGGCTAAATTCCAATCGCCTGCCTCAGTTTAGCGATTCTAAAGTCATGCTGGGCGAGAGTTAGCTCAGAGCAGCATCGTGAGATCCCTGGGGGGCTGTGTCCTACTGTGCTTACCATTGCGGAGGTGGACGCTAATTAGCACTGTTATAATGCAGGCATTAATGATGGTAATGATAGTCATGAATAACCCTGCTAGGTAATAATAGGAACACAGAGAAATAAGTGGGATTCTAAATTTGTGAACAGTTTCTGGGCTAGATTCAGCATCATAAGGTATCTTTGCGTATTGAGCACTTGAATGAGTTGATCTCCTGCTATAGTTGAGTTCAAAGGACTAATAATAGCGACTAGTAAATGGATAGGCTCCATAGAATAGCCCTGCCTATATTTACAAAGTGTGAATAAAGATGCCTATTATTCTAGTTTCTCAGTGCACTATTCATGGGTATTGTTGTCTGCTTTGAGATGGATCTTTCAAAGTTAGAATGTCCCTTGAATAGGAAGATAAAATGTATCCGCTAAGCCTATCAATAGGTAGTTAGGTACAATACCACGGAGTACTCTGTACCCGTACATGTTTCCTCCAATGAAAATACCTGAACAATGACAGTCCGATCAACAACACAACAACAACAATAAAAAAAGCACTAGTCAAGAATCCTAAGATAGCCTTCTGCTCTTTTGTCGCGCCAGTCTTCTACAACTCTTCTACTCTCCTCCCTTTCTCTATATTTCTCTTCCTTCATTGCTATCTGCTCCCAGATTATTCTGTTTGTGAATCTGTCATCATCTTTACTGCACTCTGTACACTATCCCAATCCCCTTTCCGCTTGAAAAGGTACTCTGCCATTCCCAAAAAAATGCCTCCCAAAAAAAGCGCGTCCAAGGCCGCCGCAAAGCCTTCGACGTCCACAACCAAGACCACCACTACCAAGAAAACTACTGTTGCGAAAACTGCAAACAAAGGTCAGCCTGCGAAAGCTACTGCGGCTTCTCAGGATAAGGCAACCTCGAAGAAACAATCTCAAGCCATTGATGCATCTGCAAAGTCGCGCAAATCTAAGGCCACTAGTGCCAGTGCGGCAGCTGCTACCAAGAAGCGCAAGGCTGAAGAAGTCGATAAGGAGCCCGATGTCAAGACTAAAAAAGCGCGTGTTACTCAGCCTCCGGTCAAGAAGCCGAAACTGAAGGTGGTCATCAACCATGCGCCGACTGCACGATTGAACGTCTATGTTTGTGGTGAAGGTAGCTCAGGCGAACTCGGGCTCGGCGCGGCGAAGAATGCGGTCGATGTGAAGAGACCGCGCCTTAATCCCCACTTGCCAGCGGACCGGGTGGGTGTGGTGCAGGTAGCTGTCGGCGGCATGCACTGCGTCGCCCTTACGCATGACAACAAAATCCTTACTTGGGGCGTCAACGATCAGGGAGCTCTTGGGCGCGACACTACATGGGAGGGTGGTTATAAGGACATTGATGACAACAAAAGTGATGCGGACTCGGACTCGGACACAGATGATGACAGCGGTCTCAACCCCTACGAAGCAACTCCCACTGCAATCTCGTCCGACGCATTTCCTCCTGAGACCGTCTTTGTCGAAGTCGCTGCCGGTGACAGCTCCAGCTTCGCTCTCACTGACGATGGCCAGGTCTATGGCTGGGGAACTTTCCGAGTAAGTTACACACGGCATCTTCTTCCTACTGGTTTCTGTTTCTATTCTTTTCTCTCACCCTCCTGTGCGGATGTCTCCTCAACGATGCGCTAACGTGGTCTCTCCAGAGCAACGACGGTATTCTAGGCTTTGATGCCAAACACAAAGTTCAGCCGACTCCCACGCTGATTCCGTCCCTCAAGAAGATTAAGCACCTTGCATGTGGTGATAACCACGTCCTCGCTTTGGATGAGAAGGGTGCGGTATTCTCCTGGGGATCCGGTCAACAAAATCAATTGGGCCGCCGCATCATCGAGCGCAACAGGTTGAACGGCCTCCAGCCGCGTGAATTTGGCCTACCAAAGAATATCGTCCATGTCAGCTGTGGTGCCTTTCATTCCTTTGCCGTCGACGCGACTGGGAAGGTCTATGCATGGGGCTTGAATAGCTTTGGTGAAACGGGTATTCGCGAGGGAGCTGGCGACGACGAGGCTGCCATTATTCACCCAACTGTCGTGGATTCACTTTCTGGGAAGAATATCGTTCAACTATGTGGTGGTGCCCATCACTCGCTTGCGGTTTCCAAGGATGGTCAATGTCTTGTGTGGGGACGCCTTGATGGCTTTCAGACTGGCCTGAAGATCGATACTCTTCCAGATGATGCTGTTGTGAAGGACGAACGTGGACGGCCGAGGATCTTAATTGAGCCGACTCCTGTTCCCGGTATCAAAGCATCTGTCGTTGCGGCTGGCTCTGATCATTCAATTGCTATCGACGTCGACGGTCGCGCCTGGTCGTGGGGCTTTTCAGCAACCTACCAAACAGGCCAAGGCACTCAGGATGATATCGAGGTTGCGACTGTCGTGGAGAATACTGCTGTACGGGGTAAGAAGCTGAATTGGGCTGGTGCTGGTGGACAGTTCTCCGTCTTTACCGAACCAGCAACGATGTAAAGACTACCACCCATCGAGCATTTTCTTCCTCGTTTCCTGTTTTCATCCGAAACTGCTCGACTTCGGCAGGTTTGGGCGCAATGCTCGATGTTTACCATACACCACGCCATCTTGACTAATGTCGGCTCTATGCGAACTTATCTAAGATCGGCTCTGTACTTTATCTGCACCAATTTTATTGTTGGTACTGTTTTGTCAACGTTATCACCACACGCAGACCTTTTGTTTCGGAGTAAACTCATAGCCCATGCAAGTACCCTGTAAAAGGAATATTGAAAAGCATCTAGATAGATCCCCTGAGCAGCTATGGCTCGTCGCCAGCTATTGAGGAATGTCATGTTGAACGCAAGTTATACTAGGAATTTGTAGAATTGAACTCTTTGATAAGTCAGCTCTGTAACTCCATCCCCGAGACTACGATGGGAGGGAAGTCCTTGCCGGTAATCATTCTAGGTCATGCAACTAATCCTTCGAACCTTCCTATTCAAAGGGGCTTTCGATAACGTGTTGGCCATTGGCTTCAGGCAGAGGCATTGTTCATCAGGAGTAGCTCTTGTTCTTTTAAAAGTGCATCCAATTCATCGTCGTCGGGTGCTCCCAGGTTATCGGGCTGCTGCGCGACATCATCATCATCTGTCATAAAGAGCCCCTCGTCTAATCCGCGTTGTCGCGAAGAACTCAAAGTGTCTTCAATATGCATCCCCTCTGCATCAGACGTATGGTCACCAGCAATATCCCCTCTCGATCGTTTTGTATCCGCCATGTTGAGACCATCAAATGCTACAACAGGATCATCCGACCGACTTCCTGATGATTCGGAGGCTTGCAGGGCATCATTATGATTTTCTGACGTGACCTTCGGCTTTTCCTCGTCTATCCATTCCTTTCGCATCGCTTGTAAGCGTTTAGAGTGGCCGAGTCGCTCAATTATGGCAAGACCATCCGCGAACTTTGCACGGGGGAATAAGTCGTCAAGCCACAATTGGTAGAAGTTCAACAAGCGTGCCGCGTCGGAGAACTATAACATTAATGCGAGTTAGAAATGCAACACGGACAGAAATGGCGTTCTCTGCTTCGCCCACCTCATGCCCTTTCCCTTTGAATCTCAATTTCTTCTTGGCTGTGCGGCGCAACTTTGGAATACCAGGCTGTGACAGTAGGCTTGCACCGAATAGGTTCAGCATTTTATACCATTATTGAGCCTCATAAATCAACCTACCGACTCTCATCCAGCTTTGCAACAGGTTGCCGCTTTTTGGTCACTTTGACCTCTTCGTCTAGACCTAAACCGAGTCCTGATTCATTTCGTGCAGAAGACTGCATGGGAGCGCCATTATTTGGCATATTCGGCGTCTCCTGCCGCAGCTCATCCAAGCCGAAGTCATAATCAAAAAGATCGTCTGCACGGTTTGGCGATGTTGGTCGATCGTCTTGTAGTGTGCCTTCATTCTCCATGACTCCAGATCTGTACTTTCGATCAAGCCAGAAGATATGACGTGTAACTGAAATTTATGTCACGTTTGGGAATTGGGGATTCAATAATGTCTTCAACCAGAGCAGAGTACACTGTATTTGTTAACCTTGAGGTTATGGAGCGGCCTAATTGGGATTATCTACGCGTCACGATGCTCAGACGCGTTCTGACATGGCATGTCAATATATCTGTTTTTGGTTAGGCTGAAAGAACTCGCCAATCCACGTATTGAATACACAACAGAAATATAGGTTACCTTACCTACATTGCCTTATAATACCTTACAATATGTTACGCTCCCCTGAAATTCTCTCCTTATACTCTGTAGGTATTCTTGGAAATGCTTCTCTAGTCCATCATTCAGTAGTCCACGGTCACTTAGAATCTCCCAGTACTCTTAAGTTGATGATATCCAGGGTACTCCGTAACCTTTTTTTAAGACCTGCCACTGCTTGCTGTATGATCACTCCGATTTACACGTTGATCTCGCAATCAAGCATGAGATAGTTAATTATGTACTTGGCTTAGTAAGCCCCAGATCTTCTACTAGTCCAAGGATAGTAAGGGTAATCTTGGTGCTGCACCTCTCAGTTCATCTATAGTGACAAACCGCCCATCCAGTCGACCAAAAGTGAACCTCAGGGCATATACACCCCAGTACCCTCACAATGGCTGCTGAAGGCAAGAACGCCCTTATCCCTCCGAAGCGGGCTAATACCGACTACCCGGTGCGTTCAATTCATCTCCTATACAGTTTCGCTTCACATTAATCGCTAACCTTGCGTTGCAGCTCATTGACTCTGATCCGTATGTCACTACCCTTCGCTCAAGCGCTCAACTGTGGAAGCAGATATTCACATCAACATAGGCACCTTAGAAGAGTTTTCGGATATGCTAGACCTTCTGATTATGCAATGGCTGGGGGTATGGCCGCTGCCTCCCCTCTCGCATTCTGGGCTATGGAGAGGGTCAGCCCTTCCCATGTGGGCCGAGGAGGCTTTGCTCCTGTCATGCGACTGGCAACAGCAATTGGTTTGATTGGCGGTCTACACATACTTTACCAGAGATCTTGCAGTACGTCGACGCACTGAAACCCTCTGGTAGCACGCATTAACCCGAGCATAGACCGTTTCTACGGATTCACGGAAAATGCCCGAGAGGTCGAAATGGACATGAGGGAAATGGTCGACAAAGTCAAAAAGGGCGAGCCGCTATACGGTACATCACAAGTATCCTCTTATCTACAAGGCGTTGCGGCCAGGAATTCGCGGTACTCGCAGCTTTTTATTCATGTCCTTCCTTGGTTTAACATTGTCAATCACGACCAGGTAAGCCTTTTTATTTTTCATCACTGTCCTCAGAATTTTGAACGCAGTTCGCAGTTCGCTAACGTACGGCAGCATGGTGTTGACACAGCAAAATATTATCAGCAAGCTGAGCGTGAACTAGAAGCCGAGCGCTTGACGACAGCCGGCTCTCCCTGAGTCTTTGTGCTTGTAGAATGTTGTCGAATGTTGTCAGTCCTCGACACTGAACATGTTTTGTGTATCCTTTGTATCCTGTTGTTCTTCCCATGTACTCGAAATACAGCTACATGAACAATCTGCCTTCAGCAATATGGTTACGAAGTAGCAAGTTCGGCGACGACTGCATACCACCATTTCCGCCTAAGAGGCAAGACTCAGAGCGTTATCCTCTTCGGACATCGTCTTGAGTTCTCGATTCTTTTTTGGCCGTGGTTTTGGCGCTCGACGATGTCAGCAAATCTCTCAGATCCGTGCATACCCCATACCCTTTGGACGCCTACCTTTCTCATTCTCTTGTATATAAAAGCGCCTAAGTAACATTATTGCTTCTTTGCGGAATAATCCTCCATAGACAGGATATGGTGGGTCGATCGTGAAGCTGATATAGGTAGCAGTTTAGAGACGGGTCAGGTTTTCAAGACACACATACTCACTCAGAATGCAATGACAAAATGCTTCCTGTGCCCCGAATCTATCATTGGCGCAACCAAAATAGACTGCTCGTATTTGATACTGCCTTAGAGCGGAAGCACACATTACGCATGGCTCGACTGTGACATATAAGTCCGTCGAGCGGAGCAATGACTTGGGGTGGCTCCGGAGCATGTCTTCAATGGCGATGAACTCGGCATGTCTTGTACCCTAATGGCAGTGAGCTATAAAGAAGTTGAAATAAAGAAATGAAACAAGCCGAGGTCCAGCAATATTCCAACAGCAGCATGATGATTTGCCATGTGCACTGTATGAGCAAGATAGGAAAATTGATGATGTCCTGAGGGTGCTTGTCTCGATCCAGGAACCACGACGTACATTCATAGATTTGTTGGTGTCATTCATTCCAGAACCCACTATTCTATCATGATGTACCAACACGCATCCAACCGGCGTTTCGCCAGATTCGAGCGCTTTCTCGCCCTACACAGCGTATTTGTGAGCGTTGATCCAGCCTTCGGCGAAGTATCGTACCATCAACAAGGCTTGCTTCATAAAATATGCATGCCTTGAATCTACCTGCTCTGAGTCGGAAAGTTTGTCACCGAAGTGACCACCATGAAAATTCCCCGTCTTTAACTCACGTTGAACCTCCATTGTGCCAGGATATGGAGAAAGGGTCGGATTGGTAGATGTGTCGTTGCTTAGTGAGTGTGCAATAATATCTAGAAGATTTTACACAGGCGATATGAGCATATCCCGCAACTGTTCGACGTCAACTCCTTCTCATTACTTCTGACCCGATACATCATTGGTAGCCTCCTAAGGACGTCACAATCCGAAAAGCAAAAGAATATCAATGCAATCTGCACGACTTATGAGTGACATAATCATAAGTGGATGTTTACTAAGACGTTTCTGATGGAAAGCCCGATACAGCATCTAACGTGTGATGTCACAAACACTACACGTTTATGCATTTGAGAATCCATTGTTTATGGCTGTGCCGCCCAGCAGGATGTTATTATCTATGATAATTTAGGTATAACACACAGACAAAGTGTACCTATTAAGACAGTGTTTCATACCTACCTAGTGTAGGTGGAATGGGTTATTCATTTGTAACATTGTAACAGATAAGTAAAGGTACCTGTACACTGCCTTACGGCGTGCCTTACTTCAGGTAGGTACACTGTTACTTACTGATACCTTACCTCTCTAGTGGGGCGCGTCCCTTTGATAAGCACTCAATTATCTTCAGCTTCTAACGACTTCAGTCAATGCTAGAGAGCTTTTGATGCTTTCTCTATTACACATATGGCGACCAATGAGTCGTGGGTTTCCTATCAATTCACCACTACAAACGGCTTGTCAAGGTCTGCGGAACCAGCTTCGTCGATTCTAGCAGCTCAACTTGCGCCGCACCTGGTGTCTCAAGGAAATAGTGCCCATGGTTACTTGAATAGGGAAACCTTCTCTCAGCTGCGTCAAGAGCTGGTTGATGGAAAATGTAGCCAGCTGCGTCTAGATGACAGCATCGCAGATGCTAGCAAACTGATTTGCATCGTGCTGCAAGCAGGCATCGAGCCTTGTGTCAAGGGCGATAGGTCCCGCCAGGAAGATTTTGAAGGCCAGATACTAGACTGCCTGGATATCATTCAGTCAATTCTTGAAAAGTCACCGCAAGTTTTGGGCGAAATATGTGACCCAACCATTCTGGGAGAGAATGCGAGCGTACCTCTGTATGCGTGGCTAACATTGCGATTGCTGAACCTGCTCAGCTGGGAGGCGAATAACATAGGAAAGAGAATAGCCTGCATATTCTCCAGCATCAACCGTCCTCATTATAAGCATATAACGTTATTGCCCTCCTGCTATTCCGCTCTAGCACTCCTTCGAGCGTGCACGAATGGTTAGTTGAATGAGTCAGACGTGAGTATGTTTTATTTGGCTGATTGTGTCCTAGAAATCTTCCTTTCGCTCGAGAGTCATCATAACTTATTGAGACAGCATATGTCAGAGGCTAGACTATCGATACCGGCAGTGAAGAGTGCAGTCTTCCTGACCCTGGACAATCTCAATCTTCCTCGAGCTCTTTTGAGTAAGAAGATTGCTCTCGGAACATTTCCCCAGACACTTACACTTGCTCTTCGATTACTGGACTCCTTTGTCCCAAAAAGAGCATGTCATAGTCGCACGAGCATCAAAGATTCTACCTTTCACCAAGACCTGGCTTGGATCATAAATGGAATTGAACGTCTATGGAGAATTACCCATAGATGGGTGCGCACCTCGATAGATGATATTGAGATCAAGTCACGCATTTGTATGCAATTTACGTCCAGTCTACATATCTTTCGCTCACTTGAACCTGATATTTCCGGTCTCTTATCGCCACGATCCGGTCTGGCACGTCCCTGGGTTCAGATCTGTAGCGAGTTAGTCACCTTGAGCCTGATTCAGATGCCTCATCTTCAGGCGGAATTGGGCCGGCTTCTTGACGGGTTGATCGACGCGTCTCAACATCGTTTACAAGTAGTAACTCAATTGAGAGCCGCTCTTTTGCCAACAATGATTGAGTTCAAGAGTAAGGGCACCATTCAGTCGTTTGAGCCGGGTCTTCAGGTAGGCAAGCGAAAATATGTCGGCGATTATCTTTTGAAACTCACAAATTCGAATCTAGGCTGTGTTGCAAACATTAATGGGACCCATATCTGGAGATGAAAGTAGGAGTCTCGTCGATTTGCAAGAGCCAAATACTGCTGGTCAAACGGGTCAACAAGATGAAGTGGTTCAGCATGCTATACTCCATGGCATTTCGCGGCCACAAGAATGCTCCGCCCGCCTTGACACAGCCCATAAACTTATTAGCGAGACTTTTGAGCTATTGGGCTGCGAGGAATCCGTAAATGTTGGATACCTCAGTCGCGCTATCTCGTGAGTTAAGCATATCATGATATATCCTTTGGAGTGCTGACCACAGATGTGCAAGGGAGTCGTTCGTGGATCTCCCCGAACAAAAGAAATCAGACCTTTTGTATATGCTTGGCAGGATCGCATGTGCGATGGCTGGAAGCCTTTCAAGCCCGAGTAAGGCTGCTCCGGAAAGCTCACTATCTTGCAGTGTGTGTGAAATTGAGAAAAGAGCGCTTGGCCATGAGCCCGCTTCGAAGTGCCATGACGTTCATGAGCTATGTGAGATCTTCGCCTTCATTCTACCTAGACTCACACGCGCTTCTCGTCTCAGAGTAACAGCAATGAACGCGTTGCGAAGGCTATTGATCCATGCTCCTCCTGAGTCTTCTTACCTGCAGCTGAAATCCTCTGTTTTCGGCGACTTCTGTTTGCACTCACTTCGAAGTTCGATTAGAGAGCTGAGGATAGTCACTGGGTATGACCACCATCTCGCATTCTCCTTCTGATTATCTATTTGCCTTCATCTCTTTTTACCTTTCACTCCCCCACCATCCTTCTTCTTCTACAGTCTTCAAGGAGCTGATGATTTTCAGGCATTTGGTGATCTCTTTTGTTCGAAAGGATATCAACGCTGAAACTCGTCGAAGCAACTTTGTCGTGATACTAGAATGGCTGCGGAGCCTCTCTGAGAAGCAAGACCTCCCGTTGCATGAGACTTGCATTTTGACCTTGTGCCATATTGCAGAGTATGCCTCTAACATCGAGTGAGTACCGCTTCTGAAGGCTGACCTGATTCCCACAGGGTTTCCGACGATGAAGAGATGAATATCATTCTTCTTCGTCTACTGGAGTACTTGGGCCATCCAAATCCATTCATTTGCGCAGTAGCGTACACTGAGGTATGTAGTCATTCAGTCATTCATGTTTCGAGATGTTCTCCCCTTTTACCTCGTTGAAATTGACCGGCGACCGCATGCTTGTTTTAATGGTAATCTGCTAAGTTCCTCTAGCTTTCTAAACTTGCTCAGCATCTCTCTGTGACTCCTGCTGGTTTGTTCCGGCCTTTCTGGAGGACACTGTCGATAACGGTGGTGAAGAATTTCCAGTCCCGTCCTCACATGGCCGAGCAACTCTGTGATCTGCTGGGAATGAATGTAGATGATCTTTTAAGATTAACTGAAGTTCACATCCTGCCGTATCTAGTTCTCACTCGAAAACGAGACGTCATCACGAGGGTTGGTGCAGCCTACAAGGATGTCAAAACGCCTTTCGACATTTGCTCCGAGAAGAACAACCTTGCAGCGATCCTTGCTTTTTTGATGAGTCAACCATGGTCGGACCCGGAAGGTATGATCATGTCTGTTCTATCCGATATTGACTCCGCTTTCGGGGACGCACTTTGGCGGAGCTCGTTAGAACGGAGCCAATCTTGATTGCTTGTGATCTGTTAAAAGGCCTTGGTGACTCAGGGAGTGAGAAAGGCGCACGGGCATGTGAGAACCAGTTCCTTTTTACGTTGAGCTTTGTGCTAATCTGATAAACGTAGTTTCATCGAGCTCTCCATCTTTTGGCGGCCTTAGTTCCCCGCAAATCTACTGCTACATCGAAGAAGGCCAATTTGCTTTGCCATTTCATCGAGGAGCATGTTCTGGGTATAATCACGCAGTTCGCGCACGCAATCAACGACTTTCAAATAAGACAGCCTCTAATTGAAAAGAGGCGAAATATCTTGGCCATTGGTGAGATGATCAAAGTGGCCCGTGGCCATATCAGCAGCGCATTACCGCAGGTAAGTCGGTGTAACATTCAGTCAGTTTGAAGTCGGTAATTTGATCGAAGAAATGCAGATATGTGCGTGCCTGCGTTCCGCACTTAGCATCGAAGAGCTCAGTGATCATGCCTTTTCAGCTTGGAGCGTGTTGGTCAGCTCTCTGCACGAAGAAGAGCTCGAGCCACTCATTGATCAAACATTCTCAATTGTGATCAGATACTGGGACGCTTTTAACGATCAGAGCAAGAAGACTGCCCAGGAACTTGTTGGATATATTCTCAGAAGCCACAATGAACTTATGCAAACCAATTTCAGCACCATCCCCTCATTGGCTTCAATTCCTGCATTATCTGCGCTTGAAAGTGAGATCAGTAAGATGAAAGGGAAGATGGATGTTCGAAGTCAACTTTCGGCTTTTGGACGTCGCTGCCAAAGTGAGAATGCCGCTGTTGTTGAACAGGCGTTGAGAGAGTTGTTGCCCTGCCTTTCAAGGCATGAAGAATTCTTGCATGAGTCCGTACTAAGTGAACAGCCTGACCCAGTTGTTGCACAGTTAACAAGGTCCTTGCTGGATTGCTGCGTCAAGTTCAACGCAGGTTGCGACAGCATAACACTTCTTTCGGCTCAATGTCTGGGCCTTGTAGGCTGTCTGGATCCAAATCGAGTTGATCCGGTCAAAGATAAAAAGGATATTCTCGTTTTATCAAACTTCGACAGAATGGAAGAGACCTTTGATTTCGTACTTTTTTTCCTTCAACATGTGCTGGTTCAAGCCTTTCTGTCGGCCTCCAATACGAGGGCCCAAGGTTTTCTTGCCTACGCTATGCAGAACCTGCTCAGACTTTGCAACCTCGATTCGGCCGTCACCCAGCGCTCCCGAGACATTCAAGCGGATGAAAAGTATCGCCGTTGGTCAGAATTACCTGAGACTGTGCGCAATACTTTGACCCCTTTTCTCACGTCTAAGTATACGGTCACAGTCGGTGCCATAAGATCGCATTGCAAGTTCCCGATATTTTCCACAGAGCTGACACATGGCGACTGGCTGCGAAGTTTTGTGCAGGATCTGCTGCAAAGAGGAAGCGGTGACAACGCGCAGCTTATTTTTAGCGTTTGCAGTCGTATTGTCAAGGGTCAAGACATTTCAATCGCCAGCTTTCTTCTACCATTCGCCGTACTAAATCGTATAGTTGGTGGAACCCAGGAGGAGAGGCTGGACCTGCAAAGTGAGCTCACAACCATACTCTCCCATCCACTTCCTGAAGCAAGTAATCGGATTCACGAAGCCATCATACTATGCAGTCAGGTGAGCGTTCCCTTTTGTATCCATAAGGTCTGTACATACTTGAGTTGTCCGCTTCTGACAATAGGGCAGAGCGTCTTTGAAGTTTTGGACTACCTTTCAAGGTGGCTACAGGGGAAAAAGAAGCTTCTCAACGGCCTCAAGAATCATGCATCTCATACTAGCCGTTCTCACAAGGATTCTCATCGAGATTCATTATCCGAAACATATTCGTCTCAGGTCAAAGCTGTGGAAACCTTCTTGACCTCAATACCTCCAGAAGTCATTTCGAAAAGAGCGGTCGAATGCAAATCATTTTCCAGGGCCTTATTCCATTGGGAACAGTATATCCGCCGGTTCAAAAGTCAATCCGACAAGGACGACCACACAGGCACTGAGCTTCTCTACCAACATCTCCAAGTGATTTACAGTCAAATTGACGAGCCCGACGGTATTGAGGGTATTTCGACTCATTTGCACATGCTGAATATTGACCAACAGGTCCTCGAACACCGCAAAGCCGGCAGATGGGTTACTGCGCAAAGTTGGTACGAACTGCAAGTCGAAAAAGAACCCGACAACGTTGATGCACAGTGGAATCTTCTTACGTGTCTTCGAGAGTCAGGGCAACAAGGTAATCTTCCAATAAAGAGCTGCCATCAATGTTGGCGATAACTAATCCGGTTCAGATGCCATTATTGCTAGAGTTGACACGCTCAACTCAGCAGGCTCAACGTCGAGATTTCTTCCCTTTGCTGTGGAAGCGTCCTGGATCACTGGAAATTGGGATAAGCTTCGCAGTTACCTCCAGATGCGCTCACCGGAAAATGCTGGAGACTTCAATATCGGGGTCGGATCGGCTCTTTGTGCGCTTCGACTTGGAAACAAGGCTGAATTCCGTAACATCATTCATGATCTGCAGCTCAGTGTCGCCAGATCGCTGACTGTGAACTCGGTTACTTCCCTACAATCTTGCCATGACAGCATTCTCAAGCTGCATGCCTTGACTGAAATGGAACTTATTTCCGACTGTGAGAGCAGCGAAAACAGCTCGCTCACTTGTATACATGATGTACTAAATCGGCGGCTTGACGTCCTTGGGGGATACATAGCTGATAAGCAGTACCTGCTTGGATTGAGAAGGGCCACAATGGAATTGACGTGGGATTCATTTCTACCATAAATGTTCACCTGAAGGGATGCTGATATGAATCACATAGGCATGGTTTCATGGAGTCTGATATCGCTGGTTCCTGGCTTACTAGTGCACGTCTGTCGCGAAAGGGCAATTACACCAATCAGGCGTATCACTCAATGCTTCGTGCAGCTTGCTTGAAAGATAGGTCAGCTACTATTGAACACGCCCGTCTACTTTGGAAAGATGGTCACCATCGAAAAGCCATACAAACGTTAGAGGGTGCAATAGCTGCAGATGAATTTGCCTCAGACACGTCCTCATCTGGTGGCTTGAAAAGCGAAAAGCAACAGAGCTTAATTGCTGCTAGGGTACGTACCATTGCTTATCCTCTGTGAAACGGCATGGAGCAACTAATATGCCCCAGGCCCATCTGTTACTAGCGAAATGGACGGACCGAGCGGGACAGACCCAATCCGACGTGATCGTACAGAGGTACCGAGAAGCGATCAAACTTCACTCAAGGCATGACCGCACCATATCGAGGATATCACACAGACTGACCGGGCAACAGGTGGGAAAAGGCGCATTACTACCTGGGCAAACATTACGACAAGATCCTGGAGTCTGAGAAGGCCAAACCCTTAGGAAAAGAGGCTCAGATATAGTAAGTGTATTCCTCTGATCTCCAACACTATGACTAAAGAATATTTCTAGCTTAAGCGGCGAAGCCTCAAAACTTGTCATTGATAACTATCTTCGCTCGTTGGCGCACGGGAACAAATACGTCTTCCAGTCACTGCCCAGAATTTTAACTCTTTGGTTAGAGCATGCTGCCACGGTTGATAAACCTTTCGACCCGAAAAGGGGTGATAATGAGTATTGACTTCCCTTCTTCCCATATCCACTTTATCACTCGGAAAGACGCTGAACAATTTAGTAGAGAGTTCCAGACGCACACATTGAATCAACGGAAAAAAGTCCTTGAGGATGTGCACTCACAGCTAAAAAAATATCTGAACCGAATGCCCGCGGCACTGGTCAGTCATTTATCCGCACCCAGCTTCTGCTGAGAGACCCGCTTACAATAGCAGCTGTTCACTATCCTCCCTCAAGTGGTCGCTCGGATATGCCATCCCCATGCCACGGTTTACGAGCTCTTAACCAGGATTGTAGCGAAAGTAGTCAATGCTTTTCCCCAGCAAGGGCTATGGACAGTCCTTGCAGTTGTCAAGTCCTCCTCCAAGGATCGAGCTTCTAGGGGCATCAATTGTCTTCATAAAATCACTGTAAGTGCGCAAAATCGCCGGGCTGAGGTCACATATTAAATAATTTCAAAGGAGGCAAACAAAAAGTCCAGAACAGAATTACCCTTGGACATGCGGGGGATGATCAATCAAGGACAGAAATTCTCAGAGGAGATGCTCAAACTATGCACGGCACGAATTGAGGAGAAGGCGTCAAGGATCCATCTTGCCCGACATCTTGGGTTCAGCCACAAAGTTGCCCCTTGTCGACTTGTTGTGCCATTCCAGGCGATGTTGACTCCAAGTCTTCCGGCCAGCCATGAGACCGAATATTTGAAGGGATTCAGGGCTTTCCCCAGAGACCCCACGACCATTGATGGTACGCCTCAGATTCACTTGAGAGAACTAGTTGGGATATCTAACGCTTCACAGCCGTACTTGACGATGCACAAGTTCTGAGCTCACTGCAGAAACCCCGGAAAATCAGCATTCGAGGCTCCGATGGGAAAATATACAACGTCCTTTGCAAACCTAAAGATGATCTGCGCAAGGACCAGCGTCTGATGGAATTTAATAACACGATTAATCGCTTTTTAAAAAGGGATGTGGAGTCCAGCAAACGGCGCATGTGTAAGTGCCATTTCTAAAGCTTATTGTCCAATGCTAAGGGATTTTAGATATCAAAACTTACGCCGTCACCCCCCTCAATGAGGAATGTGGTCTAATCGAGTGGGTTGACAATCTGAGAACATTGAGAGAGATCATTATCAAACTCCTCAAAGAGAGAGGTATCATGCCGAACGTATGGGACAGTCCAACTACCCAATCGTCGATTGATGTTAAACTAACACGACAACAGTATAACGAAATCAGACACTATCTTAACGAAGCATGCTCAGAGGCCTCAAAACTTCACTTGTTCACAACAAAAGTTCTGATGAAGTGAATATTCCCGATAATTTATACCCTTGATATCGATGCTCATTTCTCCCAGATTCCCCCCAGTTTTGCACGAGTGGTTTGTAGAAATGTTCCCAGAGACGGGGGCATGGTTTGCAGCACGGCTCCGTTATACCAGGTCCTGTGCAATTATGTCAATGGTCGGATACGCCCTGGGGTATGCTGTCCTCGATTGCAGTCTTCGTATCTTCAATTATACTGACATCAGAGTCGCGCAGATTGGGAGACCGGCATGGCGAAAATATCCTATTTGAGGAAGGCACAGGTGGTGTTATACATGTTGATTTCAATTGCCTTTTTGATAAGGTAAGGTAACACTTTACGTTGTCCCGGACACCCGAGACTGATTGGAGCAGGGCTTAACATTCGAAAAACCCGAATTGGTCCCATTCCGTCTCACCCAAAACATGATCGATGCTTTTGGGGCCTATGGGTATAATGGTTTGTTTCCTGAGTCTCTCAAGAATGAAGCATTGCTCAACTCTTGTTCGCAGGACCGTTCAGAAGGACATGTGAAATCAGCCTTCGCCTTCTGCGACAGAACGAGGATGCACTTATGACCGTACTGGAGACTTTCTTACACGATCCAACCACAGATTTCATCGGAAGAAAGGTAAGTAGCTCGCCTACGATGATTTTCCTATACTGACGTGTCTCAAGCGTCGCACCCATGCAAGTGTTCCAGAGACCCCCGCTGGGGTGCTCGAGAATGTTCGCAATAAACTCCGAGGCCTTTTGCCCGGAGAGTCAGTTCCTTTATCAGTGGATGGCCATGTTGATGAACTAATCACACGAGCAACAGACAAGAGAAACCTAGCGGCCATGTATATCGGCTGGTGTGCTTTTTTCTGAAAGAGAATTAATCCGCACATGGACGTCGATTTGAGACTAGTGCAGCTGTTCATGAGAGCAACTTATTCTTGCTTGGTTGTAAGGCTCATTATGCATTGATGGTAGCAAAGCAGTTCACACTCCATTCAGCATAATAAATCAAGCCTTTTCCTGAAGACTATTGTCATTAGGCCTAATAAAGCACGTAGGATGGCCATTACCATGCATGTGCACTTCAATAAGGGACTGAGGTATGGTACACAATATTTGGCTTTCCAGGTTATTTCCTCGAGGCGTCCAAGCGATGAACTCGGCTCCTGCTCCGGCTTCTATCTCCATCGCTATGACTGCTGTAGCCATAACTGCTATAACTTGGACTGCGGCGTTTACGGTGCCTAGGGCTGTCCACGCGGATGTGCGCTCTTCTCCTCGCTGGGGACCTAGAGCGCGAACCTGAGAAAGACGACAATGAGCGACGCCGTGACCTCGAGCGCGACAAAGAGCGCGGTCGGTATAAATCATGTCGCTCCATGGGCCGCGAGCGGCCATGCTTTCTCGGGGGCGTAGTCCTAGGTACATTTGGAGGAATACGCGAAGACCGGTGTTCTGAAGGCTCTTTGTAGTCATACCTGCGACGGCCAGAGCCACCCCGGCCATTCTCGGCTGGTGGCGGCGAACGTGAGAAGGCTCTCCTGGGCAGCACGATTGAGACATTCAGAACGGCACCGTCTAATTGGGCCTCGTGCATGTGCGATATCGCTGCTTCGGCATCTGCAGGATCGTGATAAAGAATATAGGCCGTGCCTCTATTTGTCATGACTGGTGTTGTAAGTTTATACGCATTTATACCACCAGTCCAGAAATTGGGTACTTACAAGCTCGATTCATGGGAAGCTCAAGACTCTTGATATCACCAAATGAACCAAAAATCTCTCTAAGGTGGGATGTGGTGACATTCTTGGTCAATTTTTCAACTATGATCTACGATGAAGTTGGCTGTCAGTAAGTTTTGGAGAGAAGGAGATGGAATAGGTACGATAAAATAAGAACAGACCTTTGAACTTCTTGGAAGCCCACTGCTTGGACTCGGTGTACGGCTGTAGCTCCTATTTCTATACCATCGAGAATCACGGCTTGGGCTGCGACTACGGCTCAGGGATGACGTCCGAGAACGCGACGGAGACCGAGACCAGCTTTTAGAACGACGTTTGTCGCGGCGGTCATTGTCATACTGAGCGGATGGACTCCGGCTGACGGACCTTGAACCTCCTCGAGGGGACATCGAACGCCGTGATCGTTCTTTGAGTGCTTCGGGATCCATCTCATGCATTGAGCGATGTGGCGATCGGCCTTGAGGTGACCTGAAAGACATGACGTGGAAGACACAAAGCACTTGGAACAGACGAGCATGGATCGCGTTCAAGACGATGCCTAAACAGTGACAATGGAATCTGAAGAGTAAGCTGCGATCGGGAGAGAAGATTGGCCCAATTCCACTGCAAGGGAAACCATACACTTAGTGTTGGATGTCGGAAGGGGTTTTTAGGCGAAACATATCCATCTACTAAAGCGGTTGTCCATTAGCTAGCCATCATATAAGCAAGGCCAAACTCACACATTGTAACCATTTAGCTCAATCTTATACCTTATTTTTTTTAGTTTATCCTCTTCTCTGAATAGCTTGTAGTATAACAGCGCCATCGTTAAGATTAACATACAATAATGATATTATTATGAAATAGGTACAAAAATAGATCATGTAAATTATCATTTGATTGAGGCCAGAGGTTCTGATTTTGCAGACTTTCCCCATCGCTCATATTCTTCGCGGACAGCATCCGTAATTTGTCTCTGCACTTGCTTAAGTGCATATGTAAAATGTTTCCGCTTCACTTCCTGTTCTTGGCCAGTCTCCTCTTCTTCATCTAATGCTGCATCACCGGCAGTTTCGCAAATGCTCACAATTTCCGCCCCTGAATAGCCATGAGTGAGCTCGGCTAACTCCTCCAGGTCCACTTCGGGATGGACCACGGACTTGCGAAACCAGATGTTCAGAATCTCCTTTCTCGCGTCAAAATCTGGCGGGCCAATATACAAAATGTTATCCAGGCGACCCGGGCGCATCAGGGCTGGATCAATCACGTCGGGCTTGTTTGTCGCAGCAATGACCAAGACATTTTTCAATTCCTCGATGCCATCCATTTCATTTAGTAGAGTGGTGAGCACATTGACACCTCCGTGAGATGAATTTCTTCGTGAAGCGATCGCATCGATCTCATCGAAAAATATGATACTCGGCCTCGCAGATCGTGCCTTTCGGAAAATTTCACGCAAAGCTCGTTCTGACTCGCCGACGTACATGCTCAAAATTTCAGCACCCTTGACTGCCAAGAAATTGAGACCCGCTTCGGTAGCAAGTGCTTTCACCATTAGCGTCTTCGAGCAGCCCGGGGGACCATAGAGAAGTATTCCCTTTTTACTCTTCACATTGAGTCGTTTCATCCGCTCAGGGAACTGCATGAAATGTCAGCGAGTCAAGAGGAGCGCTAACGGGCCATTACTCACTTTAAGAGGTCTTTCCACAGCCTTTTGGAGACGCCTCTTGATATTATGCTGCCCGCCAATATCTGTCCACCTGACTTTCGGTGTTTCTAGGAAGACTTCTCGCATGGCGGTAGGACGAGTTTCCTGTAGAGCTGACATAACATCCGACTCCTCGATATCCAGATCAACGACCATATTCTTCTCGATGTGCTCAACACCTGCCACCGGGTCAGGGGTTGATGTAACGTCGCAGGGCCTAGTCGGCGAACGAGATTGACATGACTGCCTCTGCCGCGCCTTGCGGCATACAAGCTGAAGTAACGCAAACAAATCAGCTCCGACATAGCCGTGCGTTTTCTCTGCAATCATGTCGATGAGCGCCTCGTTCAATTGGCGTGATGAGCTTCCACAAATAGCCCGCAAGATTTCAGCTCGGTCTTGCGCTGTGGGTACCTGCATTTCAATCTCGATTGCTAGACGATGGGGTGTCCTGAGTGTGTCATCGACGTCGTTAGGATGGCGACTTGCTGCCACAACCAGCACAAGAGCACTTTTGGCCAGATCTAGACATTCACATAGCACTGATGTTAAAGATTGAGAATCTAGCGACGCTCGTTTAGGAGCAATGAAGTCGAGCTGATCAATTATGATGGCACTTGGCTGGCAACGTACTGCCTCTTGAAAGACATTGCGAACCTTAGCTTCCGCATCACCAATGTTTCGGCTGAACATGGATGAACCGAGACTAAACGTCTTTTTCCAACCTGCAGCTTGTATCTGGTGCAGAAGGGCAGATTTGCCTGTCCCCTTAGGTCCATATAGTAGGATACCCCTACTGTGCTCATAGAAAGATGGCATTCTGAATTTTTGCACCAAGTTAAAATCAGCAAGACTCTCATTGATGCTGTCGATCTGACGAGACAATCCTCCTAAACCGGAAGGCTTTACTTGTATTGCCGATGGCGCCTCTTCTGGGACGCCATCAAATTCATCGTCGATCTTGATTTCCGAGCTGTCGGTAAAGCGAAATAGAGTGTTCGTAGGATTTCTAGTCGCTGTCTTAATATTGGCCACTTTGAAACTTCTTCGCTGCCCTATTAGCTCCACATCAAAAGTCAGACCAACAGCGACAAGTTCGCATCTCGAAAGAGGAAACCGCAAAGCAAAGGCCCAGTGGTCTTTTTCCTTGGGCGGAATGGGGCCGCCGTATCTCGTGAGGCGATCTACATCAGAGCATTCTGTAATATAGACGCGATCTATTCCTTCCAATAGATCTTCGGCCCTGTTGATAGATATCTTTTCTCCGACTTTTATTTCATAACAATCTTGGAATGTCCTCGAAGTCTGCACGACGGTACTCTGTATATTTTCGGCTGCGGTCCAGGCTACGGCGGTTTTTGGGCTTCCACCGGGAGTGTTCACACTGCAAATGTCTCCTGCTCGAAGTTTGAGCGCGGCTAGGGACGATGATGAGAGATAGATACGGAACGCATCCTTATGGTCACTCCTCGCTTGTTTTGACAACGGTCGAACAGTAAAGAGACGAGCGTCAGACATTTCAAGTGACAGAAAACCGGCGGTTCACAAGAAGATCAGTCTCACTTCAACTTTCGCTGAATTCAATGTCTGTTGACTTGGCGGGACCAAGAAGGCAGATTATAAGATTGGACTCCTTCAACTTCCTTTTTCCTTTCAGTGTAAGTTCTGACATGGTCATTGTGCACATAACGAAGGAATTGCTGTAAGACATACTATAGTTCTGAAAAGGAGAAATAAAAATAAAAAAAGAAAATAGAAAAGCATGAAATCATGAAATTATTGAAATCACCTTGAGGTACTAGATTGACTGGTTAAATTCTGCATAATGTAAATGTTCTACCTTACTTTTTATCTTACTCTATTTACAATAAAAACTTTTATATTCCTAAAGGGAACACAGATTTAGTGATTAAGTAATACTTCCGGGTACGAATATCCAACTTGTCAGGTGGGTCTGCTTAGAATAGCTCCGCCTTGGTCAAGCAAAAACGCTGGTTGTATGAATGTAGATTGCGGATTTTGTCTCAAAAACTGTTTCAATCAAAGAAGCCCGGTCTACGGAGATTCTCTTGGTTTATGCTTTAACCTCAGAAATTCAAGTAGTTATTTTCTTAGGCATACTTACATGAACGGTGTCGCGAAACTGAATTTGGTAACTCTTAACGCCAGCAATCAAAAAACAAATAGACCAGAGGATTGAAATACCGCCTAGCATATCTCAGCTGATGACTATGATAACATTGGCAGATTTCAGCTGTAACGAGGTCTTGGTCGCATGAAGTGTCTCTGGAGTGATTAACAACTGAAGGTAAGGTGAAAGGAACAAATGTCCCCCTGTGTAAAGGGTTGAGTTGAAAGATTTGACGCCAAACGAAAGGAAGCCCGAATCAGATTGAAGAACGTTAGGAAGGAAAGCGCATGCCTAACAACATTTACCGCCAGTACTCCCAGACGTCCCCGATCCGTGATGGTCTATATTGACCCCCTGCGACCCCACTTGTTCAGACTTCGATGTATCCATGCCCTTTTTGATGGCAGAGGCGAGGCTGTAGAATGCTTTCTCGATGTTGATGTTGTTCTTGGCTGACACCTCAAGGAATGGGATGCCTAGCTCATCAGCGAGTTGTTGGCCTTGTTCTGTAGAGACGGCTCGCTTTTCCTCCCAGTCGCACTTGTTACCAATGAGGATTTTGTGTACCCCTTCACTTGCATGTTGCTCAACATTTGAGAACCACGTACGTATATCTGGATAAAGTCGCAGCAGCAGTCAGCATCAAATCACTATTTGAGTGTGGAAGAAACGTACTTTGGAAGGAGCGTTCATCCGTGACATCATATACAAGAAGTATTCCCATGGCGCCTCTGTAATACGCTGTTGTGATAGTTCGAAATCGCTCCTGACCTGCGGTATCCCATATTTGAAGCTTCACGCGTTTGCCGTCTAGTTCAATTGTACGAATCTTAAAGTCGATTCCAATCGTAGTGATGAATGAGGGGGTAAACGAATCCTCACTGAATCGCAGAAGACAGCATGACTTCCCCACGCCGGAGTCCCCGATCAACAACAGCTTGATCTATGACCACCAAAACGATTCTCGGTTATCAAATAATCAGATTAAGAGAGTGGTTTAAGCTTACCAGGAAGTCATAATTTCTTGTGCCAGCCATTGTGGTATCGTGGAACGGTATGAATGCAACTTCAAGAGAGCTGATATTTGGGTACGATTTCGATCGATATTACGGGGATGAACCTCCGTAGTGGTCGGTAGAACAACTCCCCTATCAAGATAATCGTACTTCCCCCGCCCTTCTTACTCTTGGTGACAGTCGGCAGAGAAGAGGCAGCCACAAAGAGTTATCAGGACTTTCGTCGGATTGGCGAACGTTGAGGAAATTAAGAAGATAGATTCCTGATGTGAAATATTAGAGATTCCTGCCTGGCAGTCGACTGATCCTGTTCCGAAACTCTAGGCCCGAAATGATAGATAACTTCAAAAATATTCAATAAATTGGGTGAAAGATTACAGGCTAATGTTAAGTGGTTAGTCGGCAGCAAGGCAAGTCATCCGAAGGGTTATCCAGGGGGTTATAACAATTATGAGGAAGTTGTAATAGTAGTTTGTACCTACCTCTCTAGAAGCTGGGAAAATATACCTTGCTGACTACAACCTACATGTACAGATTAGTGCCATATCTCCAGCTTTTGCTCCACCAGTAGTCTAGGTAGATATCTATGTACATAACTCATTTTATATTCTAATGAACAGCTCCTTGCTTACACTTAGGATCAATAACTCTCTATAACTAGTATGGATACCTTTATGATATATTAAATATATATCAAAGTTGCAGATATTTAGGGGTGCGTAATCCTACGACCTATTAAAAAGCCACTAGTAGTGATAATTCCCATTGTCCCTTTTAATTAAGCGTAGCATACCCTTCCCAATACTTGTCAATGATGGGCGATCGGCTTTAAGCATATACCTCCACGGAATTCCCTTGCAAATTACCATTATAGTTTTATATTTTAGGTTTTATATGTAGAAAGGATCCGTGAGACTCCGAGAAGTTAGGCGGATGTGAATTCATCTTATCAAGCCTAATATACAAAAGAGCAACCAGTATACTCTTTCTTACTTGATCCATCGAGAGTATACCCATCCAATTCTACTTACAACCTGGATTTGCCTCTGTAATCCGATATGTATATTTAGCAGGTCACCAATGTCTTCTTGAAACCCACGGAGATCAGCTCCTCTCAGAACTGTTGCTGCTTTTTGTAGGAGATTATCTGCACCACAGACCAGAAGGCCATGGTCCTTATAGGTTAGAACACCGCTGTCAGTAGGTGTTGACAGTGTCAAAGTACGGTCGACATCCCTAATTCCAAATCAGCACGGATCGTTGGGTTGGCTCCATTTTGAATACCGCAAAGCATGTCTCAGCTCATGTTTTCGCCTTCCTACTTGCAAACCCTTGCGATTGCCGAAGACACCAAATGCCCATCTCAGAAACGCGTACGTGACCATGATCCCTGGGGTGAGGCTCACAAAACTGGCGCACGTCAGCTCTGGGGTCAGTTCTTGAGAGACAGCCCGTACCCAAAAACAAGCTCCTGGCTCTTCAGCAATGAATCGATTCCACCAATCGCTATTTCAACGTCCACCTTCGTTTTCTGAATCTGGATCAGAAGAGCCCGTACTAAATCACCACGTACAGTTCCAATGAAGGGCTTCCGCAGATCTTTTTCGTACGCTCGTAGTACTGGAGTTAGATCACCCTCTCGAATCCTCGCGGTGAGGGTGTCAATCTGCTTCGCACCAAGCTCTTTCTCAGATTCGGGTCGATCGAGGACAAAATCAAGCACCATCCGCTCTAAGCTGGCCCTATCCGCCTCGAGACTATTCTTACTCATTAGTGCAATCTCGCTCTTTTCGTCATGTCGAATAGTCCCGATGAGTCTCCGCGTAGGCTCAACGACCCAATTACCCCAAAATTCACAAGCAGTTGATCCGATGTTGGAAATCCATCTTATGAGCTCGTGCTGCCGACTGCTTATCAACCTCAGGAAAGTGCTTGTCGAAAGCACCCCCACTGACAGCGGCAGCCAATAACGTACCAAGCATGAGGGACGCCCATGGTGATTGATTGTCCGCCTTGAAGAGGCGCTATAATCTGGCAATAATTCATCCAGTATAATGAAAAGCTGCGCGATAACGTACTCGGGCGACTGGGGGAATTTTGTCATCTCAGATTGAGACCGAACAATTTCCCTTTCAACTGCGGTAAAGATTCCCTCCTCAAGCTCATATTCTGTGCCTTCATGTACCACCCTTTGCAAGAGAACCTTCAACGTGAGTACACCCCTGAACACAGCATCACGCAAGCGGTCATCAGTGGCAGACTCTGAGTCAATTTCTGTTTTGAGAAGGGAGCATTGCCCCATGAGAAGGCCGATGCCGCTGGCGTTTCTCGTTCGCATCGCTCCCAAAGCTTTGCATTTTTGTCTAATCTCAGACCTATGCGCAGTAAATGAAGAAAACAGCCTTGCGCGCAGCGAAAGCATCGCGCGTGGGTCAAGGCATTGGCGCACTATGTCGTAAAATCTGGCCCACGAAACAGATGCTGTTGGGTTGACAGCTTTCCGGATGCCGCCCTCTTCCGTGTACAAAATAGACCGTCTCAGGAAACGCCATAGTCGATCTGGGGCCGTCTGTACTGCGTATGCCCCGGTATACCAATTTGATCCTGAAACATCGGCCCAGTAGAACACCTCTTCACCAATACTGTGAGTATGTTCTAGAAGAACATTGATGGTTATGCCTAAAACCTGCAAAAATGCCTTCGCAGCCATGATCCACGAGACATCCAGCACATATGCGATAGTTTCATCCGGCAATTCCTGTCCCTTGAGCAGGGAATCAGGGAACTTGGAAATCAAAGCCCTAACCTGATCGGCTCGTAGTAACGGTTGAGATACAGATTGCACAGAAAGCGACTGAATCAATTTAAGCAATGTTGCTATGTCCTTCGAAACTTCATATGGGTATTCAGATAGTATATGGGTAGGACTAGGCAAACCATCATTGACTTTCTGTTGCACTCTGTCGAGCTCTGCGCTTAAGTGATGGATGTGACTACTGATTGTGAGCACATTTCAGGACTGGTTGCAGCAGAAGTGACAAACCGATTTATGATGATCATAGTGTATCTCAGTGGGTGCAATAACTCCGCGAGTTATGTAGACTATAGCCATAATAACAAAGCTTAAAAGATAGGACGGCATGGCGTCATACATACTAGACTGCCTGGCTTATTATTATAAGGCAAACAATACAAACTTCCAGTACATAGACAGCACCCTACAGGTGAATGTGCTGCTATCCAGCGCTGGAATTATGAGACTATCTCTGATCAAGTGGAGGGAATCCAATATTGAACATTAAAGGTGCTCTACTTATCATGCTATCAGGTATAAGAAATCGACGACTAAGAATCTCACCTACGGATGTGTACTCAAGTTAGGTTGTGAGGCAATAGTGTTCAATGTCACAATTGATATTGGAGTTATTATGCTCTCCAGATATCAGCAAGACTCTCATTGTACTTTTAAGATGATGAAAAGAAATAAAATAAAATAAAATAAAATAAAAAATAAAAATAAAAATAACTTGATATATAAGGATCTATATCTTGACCCGAAAATAGTAAGGCAGAGCTGCACAGAGGTCTCTGATGATAAGAAGGGCACGGAGTATAGGGATTAATAAAATAAGGAACTCAGAGATTGTGGTACTTGTTTTTTACTGGCTGTAATCTAGCCAGTGCCCTAGAAGGCTTAGATAATCTTCAACTTTGTGGGCGGCCAATAATAAAGTTGCAGTTATGGAGAGCTTTGCATCTCAGGGGTGAGAAGGGGCCAGGCGATAACAATAACTTTACGAGACTAAACAGAAAAAGTTAAGAAAAAGTCTCGCCACCCCGGGAATGGATGTCCTGGCCGACCGTCCGGCGCGTTTAGTAACCACTAGCTCTCCCTCCTGAAATACCATCACACCCTCCAACAATAATTCTACCAGAACTCGAACTCCGTTTGCTTGTTTTCTTATTGATGGAAGAATAGATTTCAACGCCCAGCCGTCTCTCATAACAGGATACAGGTGCGATATCAGATACAATGTGAGTTGCTCCTCCCCTGTCACTTGATTCAATCACAGTTTGGTCCTGACAATGTACAGGAACTCAACACTATACTCGATGTCTCCTGGGACTTATTGGGAGCAATATGAGGAAGTCTCCCGGCATAATGCACATCTCAATGTCGTGGAGAGACTTTGGTCCGCGTGGTATGCCTGGATGCAAAATGATGTCCTTGCAACTGGCATCATGTCGTTTGTGATGCATGAGATTGTGTATTTCGGCCGTTCTCTTCCCTGGATATTCATCGACACTTTGGGCTTGTTTAAGAATTATAAAATCCAGAATGTAAGTGGATTCGATCCCAATGCTTATCGAATGGCCCTAACTTGACTACTCAGAATAAAATTCCTTCACTTAGGGAGCAATGGGATTGCGCCAAGTTTGTCCTTCTTAGCCACTTCACTGTGGAACTTCCGCAGATTTGGTTGGTGACTCAATTCAACCGGGCTCCATATTTGTTTCTAACAGTATGTCCGCAGGCTTTTCCACCCCATGGCTCAGTTCTTCGGTCTGTCTACGTCGGTTCCTTTTCCCTCTGTTTGGAGCATGATGTACCAGATCGCCATTTTCTTTGTTCTTGAGGATACATGGCATTATTTCTCTCATCGTGCCCTCCATTGGGGCCCTTTGTACAAGGCTATCCATAAAATCCACCACCAGTATTCGGCACCCTTCGGTATGGCCGCCGAATATGCGTCGCCTATTGAGGTTATGATTCTTGGGTTTGGGACCGTTGGATGCCCCATTCTTTGGTGTGCATTGACTGGCGACCTTCATATCTTTACGATGTATGTCTGGATTGTCCTACGACTCTTCCAGGCGATTGATGCGCACAGCGGCTATGAGTTCCCTTGGAGTCTCCATCATTTCTTACCTTTTTGGGCTGGAGCTGATCACCATGATCTTCACCATGAGAAATTTGTCGGCAACTATTCGAGTAGCTTCCGGTGGTGGGATTATCTTCTCGACACTGAATACACACCTGAAGCTCTTAAGCGCCGAAGGGAGGGCAAGATTACAAAAAAGGCTCAGTGAGCACTGCTGTCATTAAACCATGACAGCCTTTACCTGTCCTGCTTGGGACGCATGCCAACTGCTTTATGGTCCTTGTGTTATAGGTACCAGTTTGAGAGGGAATCATCATTTAACCCTCTTTTGATATTATTATTATAATATGTGTGATGACTGTGGTTGCTAGGTTCATGAACTAACTTATTTAACCTAGCAGTCATCCGATCTCATTCATTATTTTTGGTGTTCTGATTATAATTGAGTGTTCTATTTTTAATTGTCTTCTTTTAATGTATATATATATCAATGAGTTAATATGATATAGATAGGGAATAAACATAGGGTCCTAATATAGACACACCCCCCTACATCAATGGCACACCCCTCTAACTTAAAGACACCCTGCTACCTTAACAGCACACCCCTTAACTATTATTGGTTAGACTGCATGCTCTAATCATATAAGCGCCAGGGCTAGGGCTGAGTTGTAAGGCAGAGTAGTAGTGGTAGGGTCAGCTCTTTATGTTATGGGGAAGATGGTTGTTCATTCTTAGCTAGTAGCTATCATTGATAAGTGACATGAGCATGTAATTTATTAGATATATAATAATTGCCATCATATAAAAGAAAAAAAAAAAAAAAAAAAAAAAAGAAAAAAGAAAGCTTAGAGTATTAAAAAGAATGCAGGGTATATCTCCTTAGTTATATATAAATCTATAAGTAGTTATATTACATACTTTCTTACCTTACTAATAAGCTTCTACTTAGTAAGATCTTAATCTAATATTATACCTTGCTTAGCCTCTAAGAGATTAAAATATATATTTTTAACCTATTATAGGGCCTTCCTAGCCTAGTTACTAAATATAGTATTATTATTATACCTACTTATTTTTATAATTATATACTATAAAGTAATTACTAGTTTACTCTAGGTGTTGTGTCCAATAAAGATCATGTGCATGTTATTTATTAATGATAGCTCATAGTAAGAATAAACAACTATCTTCCCTATAATATAAAGAGCTAACCCTACTAATTAGTAGCATGTCCCTGGGCCTTCTAGGAAGGTGATTAGGTATTACTAATTATAGAAATAAGATTCTATGCTTAATTCCTTATCTATAAAGTAATATATAGTGGTCTACCTATATTTATTAATCTTTCTTACTTAATTAGAGCTTAGGTGTAGTGGGCAGGGCCCGCTGGGTGCTCAGGCTGTTCAATCAAATCATACAGCCCTCGCGAAGTCACATCCAAACTGGACACCAGCTGTAGGTCATGTGACCTTGTACTAATTAATGTAGTAATCTGCCTAATTATATGACTATGAGAACTATTTATATACTCCTTTTATATTTAGCCGCCGCAGCCCTAGCTAGATTTCTTCCTTAGTGATTTCTTACTGTCTAAACCTAGGTCATAGGTTGAACTGGCTTCTAGCCTATGACATTAGAAATTACTAGCACCTTCAGAAGAATAGATAAAACTAGCAAAAGACAGCCAAACAGCTAGATGAAAGATGAACTAGAAGACCACCCAATAAACTAATAGAACCAGAAGAATAGAACTAGAAGAATAGAACTAGAAGAACAGAACTAGATGAATAGAACTAGATAAAGCAGCTAATCAGCTAAGATAGCTAAAATAGATAATATAGATAACATAGATAGTATAAGTTATAATAATATGTTATTATAGATGTTAACATCTCTAGAAGGACCTAGTGAAGAGCACCCACCATAGTAGAGCACTATATAAACAGACCCTATAGCCTAAATAGCCTAATAGTTATAAGAGATTATTAACTAAATATCCTAAATTAAAGTATAGCAAGTAGTAGCTACTCCTGCAGAAGTAATGCCTACCCCTTAAGCAACCTCTGTAATGCCTACCCCCACTACTACTCTTATAGATAAACCTATGAGAAGGCCTAAACTAATTCTACTAGACCCTAACTAATATAATAGTATTAATAAGGCTATGTATAATATCTTCTATTCTAACCTACTAAGGAAGCTAGAAGTTAACCACCTTATATTTAGTAGTTACTATAACTATATATAGTATGCTTTTACTAGGCTTAAAGATTAAGCCACTACTATAATAAGCCCCTAGATAGATTAGTATACTTAGAATTATACTATAACTAGAGTAGACCTAGAATATATAATTAATTAGCTTAACCTTATATTCTAAGACAGAAATCACATAGAAAAGGCTATAGAGGAACTATGCTGCCTATAATAGGATAACTATCTCTTTAGTAATATGCTAGCAGACTTTAACTAGCTATTAATAGAAGTAGGGGATTATAGCTAGACTAATAATATAAAGTAAACCTTTATTAATAGCACCTTAAATATAGAGATGTGAATATAACTCTTTAGTATAGTTAAGGAGGTAAGCTTTAAGAGGTATTACTAGTAGCTATAAATAATTATAGACTAAATTAAAGCTTTTTAGATATAGGGAGTAGCCTGAGCTAAATAGTATAGAAGAAATATATAGGCTATAAGCTATAGTTATATTACCTATATTCCTACACCCCTAGCAAACCTAGCCCTAAATATAATAAATTCTAGTAATGCTATAGATTAGGAGCCCTCTTCTATAATCTTAGTCTACTAGTACTACTATGCTAAGTAGGTTAATAAAGCTAAACTGTCCTACTACTATAGTAAAGAGAGATACCTATATTATAGAGTCTTAGACTATATAATTAAGGGTTGCTAGTACCTTAGTGCTATTCCCTTATAGGGTAAGGAACTAAAGCAGCCCTATACTTCCTAAGCTATTAGACCCCTACTTAAAGATAATAAAGTAGGTAAATAGATACTAGAATCTACTAATAAAGTAAGTAAGTTAGAAAACTAGTTACTCCTATAAAAAGACTCTTACAAGGGCTAGTTAAATAGTTAATATAACTAGAAAGCTAGTATTAACTATATCCTAAAGAAGAAGATATACTTACTAATTATAGAAGGTTTTAATAGGCTATTAGATTTAACACCCCTAAATTTATTATATCTAGAATAATTAATAAGGAATATAATTATAGAATTCTACCTAATACTAGATATATATCTTATATAGTTATAGCTAAATACTTTATATAGAAGCTATAACTAGAGTAGATTAAGATTAAGCCTATTTATCTTAAGAACTATACTAGAGTAATAAGAAGTATTATCTTAATAATTACCTACTTCTTACTAAATATTAGTAGAAACTATTAGTATATAGTATATGCATATATAGTCCCTAAGCTAGGTAATAAGTTAATTTAATCTTAGGAATCCTATAGATAGTAGATTAGAAGGTAGTTATAGAGGTAGAGGGCCCTTACTTAAGGTTTATAGATAGCTTTACTATAGAAAGTATTAAGAATGAGCTAAAGCTAGTAGTAAAGTAGATTAGTGCCTAAGGGTTTATAGTTTATAACTAATAATAAAGATAAGATAAGACTATACAGATCTTTACCACTAGTATTAGAGATATTAAGAAGGCCTTATAAGTTAAGAAGTATATAGACCTAGCTATAAAGCTTCTAGCCTATTATTATAAGTTCCTTAATATATTTAACTAGAAGAAGGCTAATAAACTACTACTACACTACCCAGGCATTAATCACTAAATTAAGGGTATTAAGAATAATAAAGAAAAGCTAATAGAACTGCTATAGGGACTATTATATAGTATATTATATAGAGAACTCCTAGTACTATAAAAGATATTAATAAAACTATTAAAAAAGGGCTTTATCTATATTAGTAGCTTAGCTACTATAGTACTAGTACTATTTACTTATAAGCCTAGAGGTGGGTTATAATTCTATATTAACTACTATATATTAAATATAATTATAAAGAAAGACTAATACCTACTTCCCCTAATTAATAAGACCTTGGAATGTATCTTAAGGGTAAAGTAATTTATAAAGCTTAATATAATTACTACCTTCTATAAGATTTATATTACCCTAGGTAATAAATAGTTAACAGCCTTCTATATATAATTTAGCCTATTTAAGTAGCTGGTCACCCCTTTAGCATAGTAAATATACTAAGTACCTTCTAATAATATATTAACTAGATACTCTAAGACTTCCTAGATAAATTCACCTCTATGTATATTAATAATGTGCTAATTTTTACTAATAGATTACTAATAAAGTACTAGTAGCATGTTTGCTAGGTGCTTAAATACTTAAAGAATATAGGTTTATAACTAGATATTAATAAATATAAATTTAAAGTAAAAAGCATAAAGTACCTTAGATTTATAATAGAGGCTAGTAAAGGTGTGTAAATAGATCCTAATAAGGTGAAGGCTATATTAGAATAGCAGGCTCCTATATCTATATATAGTATATAATTATTCCTTAGTTTCATAAACTTTTATTAATAGTTTATATAGAACTTCTTGGATATAGTATAACTATTAATAATACTAATATATAAGGGAGCCCTCTTTATATAGGGAGAAGAATAGATAAAGACTTTTAAATTACTAAAGAAGATATTTACTATAGCCCTAATTCTTATATAATTCAACCCTGATAGGAAGATGGTAGTTAAGATAGATACTGGGATAATTGTTCATCACAGGGGGTGTAGAGCCTTTGAATTGTGTGAGGGTAGGGGGTAGGCCAAAGGCCGCCCTGTACATGTCCTGCTGATATTGAGGGATTCTGGCCCCTTTTATAATTCTACCTAAGCTATAAAGGAATGTAAGAATCTACATGGTTATATATATGCTAATGATATCTACTAATATCCTCTATATACTCTTATAGACTTAATTAAAATTATGCATATTAATTAATATCACATCCTCCCCTGCTTGGATTAAACTCTGTCTATAGAGTTCTTAGTTAGTAAGTAGAAGATTAGTTAGCACCTATTATTACAGCTAAATAGGTTTAACTATTACTAAGATATATTAATTACTAGATCTGGTATTTAGATAGTATTATTTCTTTATTAAATATCTATAGACTAACTAAATCATTCCTTGTTCTCTAGCTTTAAAATTAGGGTGGTGGTGGTTAGTATCTTCTTTATTAATATATAAGGGTTATAATTAGATCCCTTTACTTAATAATATTAATATATAAGTTACCTAAGTAATTAGTAATTACTAAGTAGTATATAGGGAATTATAATAAATATTACTATTTATAAATATATATAAATAAAAGAATTAATAAAGGTAGAATTAACTAATAATTATAAATAAATAAGTAAGTATTTACTACTAGTATATATAGCCTAGGTATAAATACCCTTAACCTTTAGTATTTTATTATATATAATATTTTATAGTTTAAGTCTTAATATAATATCCCTTAGCTAG